ATCCTCATCACCATCAACGCCCTCGGGCTGGCTCTCCACACCCAAGACAGTGATGACCTCAATACTAACACCAGCCTCGTACTCAAAAGAACCCGTCATACTAAGCTTACCATCCTCGTAAACAAAGTCAATCTCCGACACAGCATCCTGCACAATCGACTCGCCGTCATCAAGATAGAGCGAGCCCTCGGCGCGGCCATCCAAGCCCGGCGCAACAACAATGTTGAAGCCCTTCTGGCGCAGAGCGGTGGTGGTGTTCGCGCTCTCGACACGCTGGGGGTAGACAATGCCACCCTTATAGTGGACGGTGATGTCTGTGTAGTCGATGTTGTCGAGGGAGACGTATTCGCCCTGTCCGCGGACAGGCTTGCCGGTGCCCCATTCGTAGAAGATGTCGTCGGGGAGGTAGAAGGTGACGCTTGTGCTGTTCTCCTCTGTGACGGGGGAGACGAGGATTCCGTCACCGTAGAAGAACTGGAGGTCGATGGGGAAGGTGTTGGAGTCGTTGGGGTAGTTGAAGAACAGGGGGTTGAGGGTGGGTGTGCCGGTTTGGTTCTGCTTGTAGATAGCTGTATAGATGTAGTCAACTGGAAGTATTGTTAGCAAAGGCTCACTTTGGTTGTTTAAGAGGGAGGCTGGGTGGGCGGATGACTTACGGAGCTGGTATCTGATGGAGATTCCGTTGCGGGCGGCTTGAGCTACGGTCGGCCAGCGGTAGAATTCTTGAGGGTTGGCATAGATCTCGGCGTGGTTGCGGAAGAATGTGTAGAAGGAGCCAAGGGTTGCCCATCTAATGGTCTGTATTAGCCCCGGACTGGTCGCTATGTAAAGGAGTCCGTGATTCGAGTGCTTACCTGGCACAGAGGGTCTCTGTGACATTACCACCGAAACCGCAAACGTCGGGACCCACGACGGGGACTTGGTACAAGGACGCGAACTGCAGAATCTGACTGATGGAGAGGCGGTACCAAAGCCACCCGGACACATTATCTGGGGAGCAGTTAGCAGGCTGTTGTCGCTTTCATTGTTGTCAATGTTGTAATGGCCTTACCTCCAAGCCAATGTGACACATCCTTTCCGGAGCCGGCAAATGTGCTCCTGGTAATCACCAAAGCCCGGTCATCCGGACGCCTGGCGCGCATGGCATTATGAGAATGCGAGGACATCATAGCGCCGTAAAGGTTGTGGGTATCATATTGGACGTATCCACCACTTTGCACAATATCTGTGTCGGCAGTGCTGTCGGCAAGAGTGGGACCGGCGCCGTTCTGGATCATGTAAGGCGGCCTGATGAACTCACGGTTGGGAAGACCCTTGCACTCGTTGGGGCCGCAGCCAGAACCGGTCTGTCTGCCGTGTTGCCAGCCAGCGCGCGAGTCGAAGTGGCCCTTGGCAGACCGCCAGTGGCCGGCACCGAGGTTGCGGTGGGATTGTGAGCGTTGATGTTTGACAACAGGAGCAGTTGCGCGCTTCTCCGTCGCATCGCCGCTGACCCAGTTTGGCTGAAGGCTGGCTGGGAAGCCAGGGATAGGAGCATCCGGGCCGTCTCTAACTGGTGGTGGAGTTGGAGGGTCACCGTCTACTTCGGCGAAATTCTCGGGGGTGGTGTTGTTGCCTGGGTACGGGCGGTTGTAGAAGTTTGCAGGCTCATTCATATCGATCCACAAAGCATCAATGTCAGGACCATTGGTTCCGTCGAAGAACTCCAAGAACTGCTCAGTCCAGTACTGCTGGGACTCAGGGTGGAACCAGTCCGGGAAGTAACTGGGACCAGCCCAAACGACACCCTGATATTCGGAGCCGTTGGTCTCCTTCATGAAGATGTCATATTTGAGACCTTCATCGAGCGCCGGGTTAGACTCCTTGTAGAACACGGCGGGATCGACCATGACTATGTAACGCTGATCCCTTGCATGGACTGTGTCCACAAGGTCTTTATACAGATCAGCCGGGAAGCGCTCTGGATCAATCGTGAAAATGCGGCGACGGTCCATGTAGTCAATATCAGTCCAGATTGTTTCGAGGGGAATGTTGTTGGTTGAGTAGTTGGCGACGACAGCGGCAACCTCGTAGACGTCTTGATAGCCGTATTTGCACTGGTGGTAACCCAGTCCCCAGTAAGGAGTCATCAATGGGGTCTGGGTGATTTCAGCGTACTGGATGGCCACGTCACGTGGGGAGGGTCCAGCAATGAAGTAGAAATCGAGAACACCACCGATGATGTTGTACTCCAGGAACTGGGTGGCGTTGTTGTCGATAAAAATATCCATACCGTTGGAGTTGAGTAGGAACACTCCGTGAGTACCAGTCTGCCTGTGGTCAAAGTAGATGGGATGAGCGCCGTACAAGTTCTCGCCCTGAGGAGTTCCGTAAGAATCACGGGTGTAGATGGTCCGGGTGTAGTTGGTCGTGTTGAGCATGAAGGCATCGCTGTGCTCACCCAGTCCATACAGATGTGGGTTCTGCGGCAGGTGTGTCTTTAGGTACACATATTGGCTCTCGAATACTAGCTTGTTCCCGGTGGTATCGAAGAGAACTTCGCCAGTATCCGTCCGAGACACGGTGAACGAGAAAGGGTCGGCTTGGAAGTCGAATTTGAGCTTGCTGTCCTTCGGAGAACACCATTCACCGAAACCGGGACGTGGGAAGACACTGTCTGGAACTTGGTAGACCGTGTTGTTGGTGTCCAAGATCTTGACGTGGAGACGATCGCTAGTCTGATACTCGACTTCAAGCTTCAAGTCCGGGAGATCAGTTCCGAAGACATTGCATGCCGGCCCAGCAAGGGTCAAGTCTGCATAAAAGCCAGTCCGAGTCTGCCAGTGCTTTGTGGCCTTGTATCCCGGGCATCCAGAAAGGTCCTTGACGTATAGGTCATTGCCGGGGCCATCGAGAGCCTCCACCCCATCCTTGCTCTGGGCAAAGACGGAGCCGCTCAGGGCGGCAGCCGAAGTGAGCAGCCTCTTAAGATACATGCTGGATGAAGCCTGGGGATAGAGCGAAGAGATGACCTACTCTTCTGGCTTTATATAACTTCATTCAGCTCTTTGCCAAGACCGGGGTCTTGGCTTCCGGAAATGGGCAAATGACGCTACATGAATTCTCCAGCTATTTCTCACGCTCTTGTGTCCACCGATGGATCCACCAGGGTCCTTGGCGAGTGTCCCGGGCGTTACTCGGCACCCGAGAGTCTACCGTATGTGCAGCTATGGCCTTCGCGCCTGGAAGAAAACAATCAAGCGACCCGAATTCCCGGAAGCTCAGTCGGCAAAAACAGCGACCCTTGGTTTGATTCTCCGGCAAATGCCCGAGAACCATGCAACCCGGCCAGCTCTACTCCACAAAACCTGGCGACGATCCTTGCGTTCCTTGTCTAGCTCCCCCGGTAAATGTCCGGGTTGGGTCTTCCCCAGTTCTCTGGTTGGTCGGTGCTGCATGCGGAGGAGGCTATTAGGTTAATGAATCAGGCAGACCAATGGGCGCTGATCTTCCTCCGGATGTGCTCCACAGCTGTAGTGCGCTTTTTTCTTCCCTAGACGGCCAATGCCGACGGCATTGTGGCTTGCCTACCACATCGGGATATTTCAACGTTTATAGTGTCGGGATCAGGGTGAAGGCTAAGACCGAGACTAGCGAGTAATGATGCAATATGTCTGGTGGCTGTGCCATATTCTACATGGCCAGCCCACGAATGGCTTCATCATTTTACGCAGCTGGTGCTGTGAGTGGGGCCCCGCAATGTACAGCTTATTCCCCACAGATAACCTGGATTTGCCGAGGTAGACGACATCCCCGACGATGGAAATGACGACTTGCTTGGCACTCCTCCAGAATAGCAGCCTTGAGCTCTGCTGAGGGTTGTCATCTGGCAGAATACCAGTCCTAAATTATAGGAGAGGTTATCCACTCAAATTTGACGAGCACCCTTCGCGAATTGCACTTGCTTGGTGAAGTATAATCATACACAACCATAGTTTAGGCTGCCATTCCTGGTCAAGGTAGTTAACAAATCAAATAACTACACTCTACTGCCCAGTCCTGGTAGTTTGTCGCAAGTGCTGATGTTCATAGAACCCTAAGCATAGTTCCTGTGGTGGCTGTATCTCATTCTCTGCTGTTACTACTATTCTGCTGAATATCTTCTCTCAGTCAAGACAAAAGTCTACCCACTACAGTGCCAGGCTCCGTTTAAAGGCCTGGATAAGACGACGTGGTATAGTCACTCACTGTAACCCCGAGAGGATATCTAATGTCCTTTTGACCACGAGTAACCTTGGGTGACCACCAGCAAATCCCTCCTGCTGTATGTTTTTGATATACATCTTTGAATGCCGTGCTTAGTTCCCTTGCCGATTTGCTTTCACATTGTTCACTTGAACCGCTGGTTAAAATACGCTTTACCTTCAAGCCACGCATGCCCCCACCCACGGGCCATGAAGAACATGATTATTAGAGACCATGCCGCAGGCACCAAGCGCAAAAACCTGATATCTCACATACGTAGTTGCATAAGGTGAGAATAACCACACAATACTCACAGAAAGCAGCGCTGTACTGAATATAAAATGTTGACCGCGGGTTCCCGTTCTGCCCCAGGGTCTTGGGAAATTCGAGACTTTTTCATCATTCTTTTCAGCGATCCTACGGTAGGGACATGTGGCCAATCTAAAAATATCCGGCACCTTAGATATCTGGATGAAGGAAGACACAACTCAACTATGTATGGTGGTGACAACTATCTCGTTAGACAGCCAGTAGGCATTCTTCGTCAATTTACCTAGTAATACTATATGTATAGTTCACATGGAACGAGAAAGGCACGAGTCATTGTCTAGGGTCGTCCGCATCAAGGTCCTATATATTGGTAAGCTACCAGTACTATTATTACACTCTTGGAAGTTGGTACTCCCAGTGTCCTAGTATCTCAGCTACTACGCACTGTGTGACAACCGCCACATGTACAGCTACTTTCAAAAATGGTGCAAATGTTTCCACTCTTGGTCACTTTTTGAAGCCCCAGAATTGAACTAAAACAAGTAAACACCGGGAACAGCTTTGATGGACATATAATACGCGCAAGCACGAGACCGAAGATCATGAAAGCCGACAACCCTACTCTGAAACAGGTTCACTGCCGACTGTTTAGGTACGGCTTCCTCTCTCCTATATCTGAATAATACAGGCTGGTCGATATCCGCCATAATGAGGTAAGTATTCACGTAAAGTCTGCGTTACGGAGTGCTTGAGTTTGAACCATCCAAATTGTTTGCGCAAGCTCTATGAACCGAGAGCCAAATTCATCTCGTAACTGGCCAATAATCTCGCTCTTAGGTTCATAAAGACTTGAAGAGAGTGGCACAACGTTCTCGAAATTTTTAAAGGTTAAATATTTCCAGAGATCTTTCCAATAACGCAGTGAAAGCTTTGCAGTGTTGTGCTCCAAATCAATGTTCTTCGCAACCAAATAAAATGAAGATTTAAGGGCGTGATACGTTTGATGTTTGAACAGCTGAATATCGGAGAACTGATCAAAGGCGTGGAGTAAGCATACTGTGTCCCAAGACTCGACACGGTGTAGAAGAAGGACTAGTGATCCTCCAGACTTGAGACGATTCAATGCAAAGACCAATTCTGAACTCGTTAGGCGCGACGCTTCACACTCGTCCCGGTATCCTTCCCTAGGGTGAGTTTTGCTCACAGCCCCTCCGCAAAAGACTACGTCGTATTTTTCTTCAAGGAATGGGCGGGTTGACTCAAACTTTGTCAAATCAGGATGCTCCGCACAAATTGTCGCACCAGGAGTCATTTCCTGAGCAAACATTGTGATATCAGCGTATACGATATTCCGGAAAATGTCCCTAGCCATAACCTGATAGCCACCGTGATCAGGGGGGAGTGTAACAGCATCGATGCTCGACCCGGGAAGATATTTTTTGGTAGTCGAACTGAAGCCGCCAGGGGCCATACAAAGGTCGAGAATGGTAGGATGGGAACAATCGAGATTATATATGCCTGTCGCCGACGCCAGAGCATCGCCGATATCTCGCGTCATTTCATAGAATTTCAGCCTAACCCTTCGACTGGGGTTAGCCGCTGTCTGTCTTCGTCTGTCGAAGTAGAGATCTCCAGCTGGATTTGCCCAGCCCTAGGATCATCTCATTAGTTATATTTGAAGTTTATAGATAGCTTCCTACCTTTCTCTTCAGTTGAGACAACTCGTTGTATAGCGGATCCGATAAGATAAAATCTGTCCATGGCTGTATATCTTCAAGCGTTGACATTTCAGTTTCCGGTTTTGGATGATGTATGTGTAGGCTAGAGTTTGGGATGATCGCCAAAGTATAAAATGAACGGTATGGGAGCTGAACAGGAGGGTGATGGCTGTGAGAGTGAAGAACTCAGAAGATAGAGATTGTTTGAGATATTGGCTGCGGGGTTGAGGGTGTCATGGGGTATGTAGTGGCCAAAAGGATGTGACTTGGTTGGCTGAGCCATCAAATTACTGTACAATACAACTTCTTATACAAAATCACAGAGGATAGAGTTGATCGGGTTCCCGCTTCACCCGCCCCGAACCTTATGTGAAGAGGACGCTAGTCCTCATTTTGACAGGCGAACCTCGTACCTATAGGTGCCTCGTATCGTATCATTCCAGCTTCGTAATATTACGCTACCCCATGTGATGTATATCAGTTACGCTCATTGTCCATACCCTTTGCCACGCCAAGCAAGCAAAACCTGTCGGTTACTGAGTCACTACCCGGCTCTACGCCGAAATTTCCAGTGTTCATTGCATAATCCCAAATGAACATTGAGCTCTTTAGCTATGACCTCCATTTCACTTATGTGCCCGTCTCGCCGAGATTCTGTTCCCACGGCATCCAAGCGTGAAAAGACTGGTCCAAGATTGACGTCTTCCAGATCCCAGGGACTAAATCATGTCCACGCCCAGTGCACTTGATGTGCGGCGTCATCTCCCAAAACACTCCCTCGTGCACACCAGTGCATGGTAATGCTATCAAAAAGAAGGGTGTTGTAGTGCCCCGGTTGTCCAATTCTTGAGACTAGTCATGACGCATATTTCAGCTGATAGTATGAATGACAGTAGGTATCGGGCGCTAAAGTTAAGCCAGTCCATTTGAGTCCTAAGTAAGCCTTAGACGCAGACTAAATAGATAGTTCAATCTTTAGCAAATGATCGTTATGGTTAGTGAGCGGACTAGAAGGAAGATTCTTAACACTCGACATTGCACTATGCGTGTTATGCGAAGGCTTGTTTTACCCTGGAATTTTGGGTGAGGTATTTAAAAGAATAAAACCGAAAAACAGCACAAAGAAGGCTCTGTGGGTGGGTTGTGCAAAGCTTCGGTGCTGATTCTACAGACTGAGGTCGTAATAAAGTATTCACGGTTGCGGTCAAAGTGGATCAGCGTGACCATCAGCAACCCTAGCACGGCACACATGTAGGGTATTAGACATATATTTGTAGAGTTTGCGACCTTCCATCGGGTTTATAGAATAGCAATAATCTTTGTGAGACATGTCTGTATTGAAAGTACCATCTTGAGCAGCGACAAATTGGAGGTTACCCAGAAATGTGCGCAAATTTTTAGGTTGATCCGGCTCTAGCACTATATATCTTGATGCCAACGAGACGAAGTGACCCACTCACTAGCTGCAGTGTGATAAATAAACAATACCATCATCCAATATCCTGAGATGACTCAAACAAACTCTGATAAACTCTTTAGTTATGCCCCTATCCTCATAGTTCTCTTCTCCTCAATGTTACCTTGAAAGTCGACATACCCAAACACCAGCGCGAAACCTCACAACGACATCTCAACCACCATCAATTAAAAGAACGGATGAGGATTGACTCCAGTTGTCATAGTCTGCAATACATCCCAGTGTTCCACAATCTTCAATCCATCAAAGCGATACATATCCATGACCGCCGTATCATTCTGTCCGGGGGTAACAGCCTTGACATGAACAAGTCCATAGTCACCGCCCACGAAGGCCTGGTGTATTTCAAAGATCATACCCTCTGTTGAAAATAACGGGGTTAAAGCTTCGACTGCAGCTTGTCTTCCATCCATGATGTTCGGGTTATGTTGGGTGTAGTTTTCCGTCACGTATTTGTTGAATGCTTTCACGACATTCTTTTCGGTGTAAAAGATGTGGGAAAAGTCCTCAAGGATGGCTTGTCGTTTGCTTTGTAGGGCGTATTGGTTGTACTCGTTTGTGGAAGTTGGTTGACGTCCCTGGAGATAGGCGGCACAGGTAAGACCGAGAAGCGTGCTGGCGACTAAGGAGAGGCGGAGGAGAGCCATATTGACGACAATTATTGTTATTTTAAATAGTCAAGTAGAGATGATAGGGTTTTGGGAATGGGCTATATTATTTTAATATAAGCATTTCCATACCGATCAATTTCCTCCACATGCCGATGTAGATCGTCAAAATACGGAACGGGTCGGGGCCTCCACCCGGAGAATCACCCGAACGCAGCTTGCATCTAAATTCTTGTACAGAGCGAATTGTCGAGTAGAATTAGCAGACAGTGAGCTAATCGGATCACTTCTCTCAAAAAAAAGCCCTAGCCTTTGTCATCCGTCTCGAGCAAATCGTCCATGTACAGTGAAGATGACTGCTATATACTAATTAGACTAGAGGCCAATTTATGTTAAATTAGAGATAATTACTTGACCTACTGTCGCCAAGTCTTGAGATACGTCTCTCCATAGTTCTATACATCACGATCATGAGACTTGGTGTAAGCGAATAGCCAATCACAAGTTCCACATCTATTAACATCAATCGTGAGGTATTAGATTGAAGTCCCCATGCTTTTACATATATCGCGAGTAGAAAATATAGGAGAGTATGTGTTTCTGTAAGACTCCCTCATCCTATCCAAAATACAAAGTGGACCGCTGGGGCTTGTTGCCGTCCTAACCAACCATGCTATCCATGATGTATATATACTGTCATTTGCCTCACAAGGTCATAACAAGCGATTCAGATTTTTCTGCGTCTTCCCGCATTATGGAAATGACCTATACAATTCCCCTTTCCATAAACATGAACTGCACAAGGACCCCTAGCTACGACATGCGTCAAATAGATGGTGACGCAGAGTACGTAGTCCACAACTAGAAGAATAGATGATAGGCTCATTACTCCCATTCTAATACAATTCTAGGTCCACAGCGATACGACCGTCTCACGGTAAGATGGTGCAGTAGTCGGGATACGTCACGTGGGGTCCATCCTGCGCTGTCAATTAATTTATTCGTAATTTGATTCCTGCTAGGGTGTTGTTTAAGGTAGTGCTTCATTATCTCCTCGGATCCCGGTTGATGTTGGAGTACATCCCGTCCTGCAGCTATGAGCATTGCATCTGTGATATTGATCTCGTTACCTTTTTGTTCAAAAAGTACCTCCATGATCTTTGACCCAGACCAACTGTTTGATGCTGTTGCATCAAGGACTCCCTCTGTGATATGTATCTCTTCGGCTCGTTCCTGGAGAAGAAGCTTTATGAAGTTCAGTCCATAGCATTCGTTTGATACTGCTGCGCAAAGGACTTCCTCTGTGATTTGTATCTCTCTGCCTCGTTGCCGGAGAAGAATATGTAAGAGGTCAAGGACATAGCATTTGTCCGATAGAACTAATCTAAGCACCGCCTCTGTGAGCTTAATCTTATTGTCTTGTTTCTGAACCTGAATCGCTTGAGTTTCCGCGGTAGTGCGATTGGGTCTTACCAAGGCGATGAGCACTGCATTCGTGATGTTGATCTCATTGCCTCGTTGCTTAAGAAGGAAACTTATGGTTCCTGGTTTAGTGTAGCTGACTGATATTATCTTGAGAATGAAATCCTCTGTTATCTCGGTATTGTAGCCGTGACCATGGAGAAGGCGCTCCAGTGTCTTTAGATGGTGCCAAAGGCATATTGCATCCATAGACCCTTGCTCTTCTTCTTCCCCATCTGAAATGGATTCATCGCTTTCTTTACTGGCCTTGCGCATGGCTCCTCCCGCATGTGTGATGAATGGAATGTTCTTCTGTGCACTACCCAGATGCCCCACTTTGAGAATATTCTCTAGGTTCTTTAGGGCTGATGGTGTCGCCATTTCAGGCATTCTAACATTAACTCCAGGGGAGTTACTCACGGCTGTCTTGGCTGCGCGTGCGGCGTCTGCAATGTCGGTTTCTGAAATGCCAAAGTGGCGATATTTGAGAACATTCTCCAGATCCTTTAGGTTTGCCAACTCCATATAGTGTTGCAGATATAATCTGTTGAGCAACTCCAGGTTCCGTAGTAAATTCCGCAAGAAGGGAAAATATGATTCCTGAGTGTAATATATGTAGTCATCAAACAAAAATCGAACAACATCACGGATGATTTCAGTTTCACTTTTCACATAATCGGGCCTAAGCATTTCTGTGTCATGTGCATCCGAGGATAGTCCCAGCAAGGCAAACACCATGTCACACGGAAGACGCGCTTCGCTCGCACGAAACTTTCGTAGGATGGTATAAAGATCTCGATTCATATTCCACCATGTACCGGCTCTTGATGGTCCAGGCATTATATCCAGGACCGCTTGAGTTTGTGCATGCGGGATTATGTGTATGAATAAAGGAGCGAGGGGAAAGATGTGAGCCGAAACAGACTTTTGTCCACAACACACTATGCCAGCTCTTGCATTGGCAACCTCTTGTAGAATCCAAACCCTTCTAAACCAGGGCCTGTTCAGAAGGTCCTCCAGACCCTGGCGCTGTCGCGATTGGAGGTCTGGATATCTGTCCATAAGGCCAGGCTGTACGGTCGACCAGAGCTCTACCCAGCGCGGGTCCGACAGTTCCCAAGTTCTGCACGGATGCCTCGTACTTTCCTTCTGGAGCTGGCGTAGCGAATCTAGAATCACATTCGTCTCGTAGGTTGGCTGACCCAGCCAAAAGATGACTCTTTCGGCCTGCTTGTATATGTCGCCCATGTGTCGAACTTGATGTCCACGCTCTTTGTCGTTGCCCTGGTCGATGCATATACCATCCACCCATAGGATCCGGTCCTCATCTCGACAGCGAAGATGCTGGAGGATGAGGTAGAGGTTTAGCGTAATACCTAGTGTTTTCCCATTCATTCGTACGCTCTCCACAATGTCGGTGGAGCCCCACGTATACGAAAGAGCTTCGTATGAGATAGCACTCTGCTCTGGGTACAGCCACGCTTGGAAGAGTTCGCAGTCAATATCAGGGCCGTCCCCATGGCAAAGGCGGACGAGACGAAAGGTTGGCCCGCCCAGGTCGAGAGGCTCGTATATGAATGAGTTCATATTTTGATCAAAGGTCCTATGGTGACGACCATCGGTTAGTGCTATAACCTGGGAAATACTTGAAGAAAGAGAAAATAACAAGGATGATGGTATGGAGCTATATGTGATAATATTCTAGCGGGGCCACTGTGGCTGTGTCTTCTCAGCCTTGTCACGTATTTTTACTCTCAGGCTAGAGTCCAAGCATTGCTGAACCTGGAAATGTTTACTGTGGCTGTGTCGTATTATGTAGGAACCCCGCACTGGTTCTCGTATTCTCTGTATGTGCCCTACTACATAGAGAGACAGGATTGACGTCGCCTTCTTGTTTGCTGTAGCCGCATGCATGAGACTTGCTGAATGCTATTATATTGTAATGGAAAGTCTTCGTGGGGATTGTTACCCTTGGGCTCTACACAAAAGATGATAGTGACATACATCTAGCCCCCTCCTGGATAGATCCATATGAAGCAGGCCAGAGCCAATATGAGCATCGACTATACTGGCACTTCTTCCATCGGGGAAGGACGAAGCAAGGCAGATATCCTTGTACGGAGTGAAAGAGGAAGGGTATGTTTTAGCCTCCGTGGTTATAATTGCGTCAAAGGAATCGATCATGTCATGGAAGCCTTTCATGCTATGTGCAGAATGTACAATAGTGAAAATATCCAGAAATACCGAATTGCATCCAACTTAATACCTGATCTTGTTTTGGTTGACCGTTTTGGAATTCCAAGTTGGCTAGACAAAAGTGGTGTCAAATATTGATTGATTATGGTACGCTCTATGGATATCAGGGTCTGAACGTAGTACTTAGTAAAAGTTAAACCAGCATAAACAGGTATTTACATTAATTCACTTAAGTAATCTATGAAGGTAAGAAAGTGCTTACTTAGTTTACTAACAGGGCGATGGCTCATTCTGGAAAGAGTGAATATCTCATGAATGACATCTGTTTAACAGCAACACACAACAACAAGCAAGACAGGGCAATGAAGGATACAACTTTGTCTCTAGAACAACAGTCATCCCCCCAAAGATATTCCCAAACCACCATACGCTCCAAAAATGGACACACCACCGTCTTCTGCAAGAAGCTGTGCCCATTGCCATAGCCCAGCGACCAAAAGATGCAGTGGATGCCTTGGAGCTCCAGAATACGACGAGGCAATCCTAGAGCCTACATTGTACTGCAGCCCAACCTGTCAGACGCAGCACTGGATCGAGCACAAGATCAAATGCAAGCAGCTACAGGCCCGTAAATCCCTTTCAAGGGCTGCCACATTGTTTCAAGCGGTATTGTATCGAATCCGCCTGCACGCCCATACAATCCAATCCGCAATTGGACATATGGACGGTTCTAGAGTGATACTGCGCCCCGTCAAGGAAGTCACGCCAAAGGCTTATCGACCTCTGGGGCCGCCATCTATTGAGCTAAAGGGCGGTGATCAGCGCGTATTCGATGCCATTGTTATGATGGGCTCGTGTACAGAAGCGATAATGTTTCTCTATGTCTTTGTTCGAGATATCTTGTCAAGTAGACCAGCCTCCCCCCTCCACCCGAGTATCCAAGGGCTCTGCTGACTGTATAGGTCTTTGTTCTAGGATCGAGGAACTTACAATCGAAATTCTGAATAAGGAAATCTCCATCGAGAATCCCGACGGTATCCCCCTTACCCACACCAATAACCACCATGTCTACCGGGTCACATTGAACAACGAGGAAATATGGGTAATCGACCCGTCTGGAGCACAGTATGGATTCTCCGAGTGTCTCTATACCTGGAGCGAGTTCAAAAAGCATAGGCTGGGAAAGATTCATCGGGAGGCCAATCTAGGCTACCACCGTGTAGAGATTCCTCGAAGTTGTTTACAGCTCAATGATCGTTGCATGGTAATTTGGTGGATGGAACTATTCGACCTTAGCTCAGCCCTTGAGAAGAAAATTTCCACACTGTCGAACGTGTACGGGGGAAACTTGGAATTAATCCTGCAGGGGTCAGATGCTGAGTTTCAGAAAGCAAAGAATGAATTGCTTGACAAGTTGGGAATCTGTATCGATCTTTGCTTGGACGAAGCCTTCGCCCCTGAACGCATCGCACAGAGATCACTACTCGTCGACGGACGTCTGGCACTGGAGAGATCGAATTCTTGATCCTAGGAGATAGGCCTTCTGTTCGTGAATACAGTAAATTCCCCATGTGAGCTCTTCGTCACTAGGATTTGTACTGGTATCAAATGCTGACAATGATCTAAGTCTACTATGTCTCCTGGTGGTGATGCCATTGTCAGGATTCGACTGGTGAACTATCTTGAATTGAAGGGTTTCAATTATTCTCATTTGACACGCTACGAAATTATGTTCCGGAGTTAGGCAGTCGCATGCTATGGAAGGCCAGACCAACTGGCTCAATTACTTTGAAACTGAGGGAATGGTTTAAGTTCAAAGGACAATAGTATTTAGTTTACTAGTCTTCTAACTTCTTTCCTGGTTCTTCTTTCTAATGGGCTTATAATTTACGCTGTTCATGGTGCTTGTTGATTGAATGCAACATAGCTGGATGATAATCCCTAGAATCCTTAACTTATCTCGATGTCTATCATGAGAGGGGTATGGGGCTTCTGCCAGGGGTCAAGACCAAGTCACTAGGAAACATTAAGTTGGACAATCCATGACTCGAATATTCAACCAGAACATCCAGATTCCTGACATACCTCGGACGTTGAGTTAAAGGCCAGGTCGAGTGCAGGTGGATAGGACCTTCTCCTTGAGTACATATCAAAGCCATAGTGCAGGCCTTGTCGCATTCGATCTTTTCTAACTACATGGGACAGTATATTTGCAATATCAACTCTCTTAAAGGCTGTACGACCCTGACTTTTCTCAATCAAGGTGACGCCAACTTGGTCTATTTCTTTCGGTCATGAAACGCTTCAGTATTAATCTAATCTATATATTCCACATCTTTAGACAAGTGGATGTATGCTATGGTGTATATTTAGGTGGGCTCGGACCAGAGCTTTCACCGTGACCCTTCTGCGATGGCACATGATCTTCATCATCAGAGCTCTCCGTAGTGACCCTCGAGGCCAACGAAGCAGCAATACTCGATCTTGTTTCCGAATGTCGAGAACAATGTCTTTTCTCATCTGTTGGAGGAGCACAACCCCTGCCCCTTATGGAAGACGGCCCAGCCTCCAGCTCGGCTATCCCAGACCCCGGCAGCTCATAAATAGCACAAGACGCGTCCGATGGTAGTTCAGGGTGACGCTCCTGAGTACCATCAACCTCACCTGGTCTACTATGATACTCAGAATCCGAATTGCTTACGCTGTCCGACAGTTGAACACCTTTTTCGGAGCTCACAGCCCGGTGCTTCCGTATGAATAAGCATGCGCCTGCAATGATCAGAATCGCTCCAGCTCCGGTGCCAACACCGACCCCTGCTTTTGTTGCTGTTGATAAACCTGGCCTGTCGGAAAGTAAGCCTTCAAATACCTTGTCTAAATAGGAGTCGATGGGGACGATATCTGTATCGGAATCGGATGACACTAGGTTGGTGCCGAATTTGGCTTGGTACAGTGAAAATTGTTCCCTTTCGTAATCGACAGCTAGATATGCTTCTTGGAAGAAAACTCGGCCGATACGCTGTTCGTCGTTCGTATTGGCTCGTCTGATCGGAAGGTATGGTAGTGGGGTGTCTGAGTATTTCGAAGGTAGATCTGGATATGGATAGGTGAGGGAGTGATCGAAGGCCTGGAATGGGAGAGTTATATTGACGCTTTGCGAAGAGTCTGGGAGGTCGGAGATTGAAAGTGTGATTGAAATGTTCATGGCGAGGAGTCGTTCCCGGAGTGATGTATCATTCCCGTAAGCATAAAAGCCTGAGCTATCGTCATAGGTGAGGTTGAGGGCGGCGCCAAAGGCATCAAAGGTGTCACTGGGCAGCCAAAGGTAACTCGTCGAGGAGTCGAGGGTGAAATAGGTGCTACCTCCAGGGTGCGAGGGGATTATATGATCGTCCATGTGAGTTGCATCGTCGTCCACCATACCAGATGAAATCGATATGGTATTAAGTGAGACAACCGGAATCCCGTTTCGGTCGAGATGGAATATCGCCTTATTGTCGTAGAAGCGCGCTCGATCCACACCCCCAATGGTCAGAGATGCCGGTGTGCCTTTCAGCCCTGGGTATGTATATTAGCGAATGCCTCATGGACGGTATGAAATGTGTTGCGTACGGTAGTGAGCGCCAGCAGTGTAGCCATAGCTGCCACTGGGAGCAAAGCTATCATTTATAAATGCGGTTTCCATGACATTTACGCCAAAATTGTCGATATGGCCACTTTGGTGTATGCCCAGTCCTAGCAACCCGATCCATGTGTCTGTATCATTGATAATTTCAATGGTCTGTTCGGTGGCCGGTCGAAAGTCCACATAAATAGTCTCATTCCCATCGTATGTTGCGGTTGCAGGATCCCTCGAACCGGGACCTGAACTTTGAGGTTTCCATGTAGTCGACTCGTTGGTATTAAAAAGCCCACCTCGCCGTTTGGAGCAGTCCGCTAGTGAAGCTAGCTTTTCCTGTCAGTTGACAAGCGGTAAAAATTGAAGATGCAGCGGAATATGCCTGCTGGGAAAGGAGGACATCACATACAGTTCTCGCAGCCACTTCCTCCAACGATCCATGTCTTTTTATGGACGGTACTTGGGAAAAGAGAGACTGTTTTCAATTGTGACCCGACCCAGATGTTCACACTAGTTATTTGTGAGTGGTGGTGGGGGTTTGAATGCCAGAAGTAGGGCAACTTACGCACTCCAAGTCCCATCATTCCCGTACCTGCGTAGGCCAGTAATTAGTAAACTAGCGGGGGAAAGGGGTGGTTTGCTAGCAGAGGAAAAACGTACCAATCGACATCCGCGTCCACAGAGGCAGGCTCCGACTCTGGTTCGGTCTTGGCAAGACAGATGGGCAGGCCGACCAGAAGAGCTATGCCCGGAAAGCTCTTCATACTCACTGGCGTCAGGACATGGATAACATAAAGCTCCGAATGTTGCCTAGTCGAAAGCCAGGTACTGTAAAGAGAGAGACACTCCAGACATAAGTAAACTAGATCATGGGGGTTCTCGCCCTCAAAGGGGCTCTTGGGTATGGGGATGGAGAAGAAACCATGGTACAGGTGTAGCCGCCAAGCATTATGGAACTGAAATTTTTCAACATCGGCCCTATTAGGAAGGTCGAATACCCTGATGCTTGAACTTTTTCGTGATTCTAATGCTAAGTCTGGGAGGGTTACATTCGCAACAGCTAGACATTCGGAGACACCGATGCGGGTCGATCATTATAGTCAAGGCTTCATTCGTTTTGAGTCATATACTGATGCAGTTGTGTTTTGTGTACCTTACTCCAGAGTACTATGGGTACCTTTATCTGGAATCACATTCGTTAAGAGATGAAACCTACATAAGCAATATCTGTAGTCATTATTGCCGAAGCGCTGCCAACAGCTTTCGGCTCGTAAATGCCAAGCCTGGCAGGCTGCAGCTTTTTCCAAGCATCACGGAGTCTTATTGCCCTGCCACATGGTCCTTCAGGTCGAGACCCACTCCACTTAAGCAGAGCCACTTGAAGTCCTAGCCAACAAATGGGATCCCTTAACAGCCAGTTATGAAAGCCGTTGCCCTGTCCCTCAGGTCCACTACCTGACGGGCCACAAAACTTGCTAATCCTACTGTGGTCCAGGTTCAGCTCACCACAAACGTCTCATTCCATACGGAGTACGTTATCTCCCCTTTGGTGTTGGCTGACAAAGATATACATGGTACGGAGTAGCCCTAATGTGCTCAGTACTCAGTTACAATTCTCTAAATTTAAATAAGAACTGAAAGTACACGAGCCTGGCTTACATTGTATACCATAAAAACAGGAAAAAGATAATTATTAATCGAATTATATATCTCGAGAAATACTGAATAATCCTAGTCTGCCGGTGGAAAGCCGTATGATAACTATATCTTATTTTATCGCGGCTGCCTTTTCAAGTCTTTAGAAGATAGGCGTTATAAATTACTCAAGGAGCGTATACACAACCTGGCTAACGATCTTTCTACTATGCTTGAAAAGTTACTGGAAGTTCTACGAGACAGTAGGGACGAAGATGTCCGGAGACTTTGTTTCAATATATAACAGAACGTCTCACCACAGAATATCATAGGAGATCTGCCAAAATTGCTGATACCAGACAAGAGTATAGATAAGCTTTGAGATGTTGTTCCATTACTAGAGCATGATAAATTTGCGCGTGGCCCGGAATATATAAAAAACCGTATCAGCATCCAAGTTTCACAATCATATATTCTCAAGGCTACATAAGTAATATCTGCGCAGCATCACTCAGAGGTACATGCTTGACTATATGCTTGTTCATATCAACGGTAGTGGATCCTGCTATGAGGATAGACATCATCATCCAATTCCCCCCACCCTCCAAAGAAAGCGTTGGAATAGTTACTCAAGGACTGTAGGAGACCTCAATTATGTGGCCTAGTGTTGAGCTCTGCATCTGCCACATCGTATCGGAAGGTTGTTCAAAATAAAACAGATATGAATCCTCACAACTCAAAACATGCAATCAGTCGTAGACAGGAAACCAGCCATTGACAAAGCCTACTATTCACTTAACGGACCTAGCAAGATACCTGTTGAGTTCCTTCTCCGTCCATTCCCACAGTTCCTGCGCCAGCTCCCTATTCTTTCCATCATCACTGGCCCGGCCTCTCACGCCAACGGGTTCATAGTACTCTCCACTATGGACGTCCCGTGCAACAGAGGCCCAAAGTTGGTTCCACACCCCCTTCTCCACCGGTTTAAACAGCCTGTATGCGACCTTCGCAAACGCCTGTACCGCGGTGGGAGAGGCTGTCGCTCCATCCATCAGCTGGGTCTGTACAACACCCGGGTGAACAGCCGCAACCCGAAACTGCGGATACAGTTCGGCCATCTGTTTCACCCACAGCACATTCGCCAGCTTGCTTTGATAGTACCGTCCGTAGGCGCCCAAGTCGTCCCCTGTGGTGGTGAGCGAGTTGAAGCGGAAGCCTCCCCGAGGAAGATACCGGTGCCCCTTTGACGAAACCGAGACGATGCGGACGTCTGCGCCGGGGGCGGACTTGACAGTCTTGTCGAGGATCGGTAACAACAACTTGCTCAGAAGCGCATGGCCCATGTGGTTGGTCCCAAACTGGATCTCGTAGCCTTCGTTGGTGATTCCTGGTGGTACGGCCATGATGCCGGCGTTGAGCATGAGGATGTCCAGACGGTCACAGGCCGACAGGAATATCTTCGCTGCCTTCTCGATTGATGAAAATGAGGTGAGATCTAATTCAAGGATGTGAATAGTCGCTCCAGGAACAGTCTGCATGATCTCATTGACGACAATCCTGGCCTGGACCACATTACGGGCTGCGAGCCAGATCTCGCGGGGATTGTGTCGAGCAAACTCGAAAACAGACTGTTTGCCCAGGCCATGGGTGCCTCCTGTAACGAATATTACTTTGCCATCCAGGGGAGGAATATCGGTTTCGGGGTTGAAAGTGACAGCACTGCAGTTGAAAGGCATTATAGCGTCAGGTCTGCGCAGAGTATGGGCTTGGAAAAGAAGAGGGGAACTCAGGTTGACAGAAAGGCACAAAACGTGTGGTGCGAGAGTATTTATAGGTCAGCTTCTCTTGTCTCAACATGACGGCCTGATTTGAGTCCGGGTCTCGTTGAGCCAGCATCCTCGAAGATTGCTTGATATACTTTTATTGCAAGCATCTGGATTGTTTTCCTAATTGGGTAAAGGTTGATCCTGGTCACCAGCGACCATTCCTAGAATGGAATACAATATCAGCTTGGCAATGTTTGTCTAGTTTGTCAGCATGCATCGCCCCTCAACTGGCAAACGTCAGACGCAACTTATATTGACAGCAGGTCTCGTGGGGCCCCTGGTTGACTTGAGGCTGGCCATCACATACGCTACCTGACAGATGAACCCGTTTATCATCACCACGTCACTCGACAAGCCAGACCGGCAGACCCGGAAGTTGATCCGCAGCCATGTCATGCGTGGGAAGAATACCCGTAAGATCAGACGCGCCAGGGAGGCCGAGTCGAGATCGGGGGCAGTAGTTCCGCCATGTGAATCATGGTCCTCTGCAGGTGGGAAGGAATGGGTGCTTACGACGCCTCGGAAGGTGGCCTCAGAACTGTCTCTGTTCAACTACATGATCGAGATGAAGCCTTACATGCTTAATCTCCTTTTCCAGGGTAGTCATCGAGCCCATTCGTTGCCTTTGGGAACAGCTTGATTTCTGACGTCCCTAGCGTTGACCGTCATCAAACCAACAATGCACGCTTTCGATACCGTCACAGACCATAGCCACCCAGGCAGAATGCTTTGTGTCGCAGATATCTCCCAGAGCCCCGCCATGGTTCACTCGATCATGTTCGCCGCACAGGCGTTTCACGATATGTCGCTGGGGGCCTCATACGGACCATTGACACGATTCCATCTAGCAAAGACTCTCCAGTATCTCCAGCAAAGTCTGGGGGACAGGGTCGAGGCTACAAAAAGCTCCACCATGACTGTTGTCGGGCTTCTGTCATTGGCAGGAATTATCGCAGGGGACCTCGAATCAGCTGCAAAGCATATGGATGGGCTACAGAAAATGATTGAATTGCGCGGGGGCTGGGACTCACTCATGGACCGAGAGGCAATAGAGCACAAAGCTAAAACGTGAGTGGCAGGATACCCCGGATTTGTTGGAATACACTATACCTACTCACATCAATATTCGGTATAGGATAGATCTTTATCTCGCCGCTGGGACTGGTAGCAAGCTGCGCTTCGTCGAGGATATCTCCTGGGGCCCGCATATCGCTCATGGTAGGTGGGCTACCCTTGCCCCGGAGCTGAAAATGGTACATCCACGGCCTGATCCAAGGCTCTTGAACGTTTGGGTTGATATACGAGAATTTTCTACACTGGTCAACAAAGCCACAACCACCGGGGTCAAACTGGCGGCCACATCTTTCTTACAGATCAGCAGGTCGGCACCGCACCGACTGCTCTCTTTGCAATGTGTCCATCCATTCCACGAACTATTAAGACTGTCCATGCTTGCATTCCTGACGCCTCTCCTGATCAACACACCTGGAATTGGCAGAACGATGACGTACCTTGCAGGGAAGCTCAAAGCCAGTTTACTTGAGCAGAGGTTCCCGCCGTTAGTCGAACAGGCCAGTCTTCTTCTTTGGTCCCTGTTTATAACGTGCTTATCAATCTTTGAAGAACAGGATCAGAAATGGTTGCGAGTCCTGGTGATACAAACGGTGCACACACTTGGTCTGAGAACATGGGCGGATACTAGAGCTGTGCTCAAGAGCTTTCTGTGGGTTGACTTAGTCCATGATCAGGCCGGTGAGAGGGTGTTTGAGAAATGTGTATTCAACACTCCAGCCGTGTCATGTACCGATTAAACAAAGCCAAGCCTCGGACCACTTATAGATTTCTCTAAGGGCCAGTTGTGCAGCTGTGGAATCATCTAGCGTTAGTTGGCCAGCGCTCCAGATACCCTCTGATAGACATAAGGAAGATGGTGACTCCCATGATAATGAGTTCCTTATAGTGCGTCAGGATGTACCGAAGCGAATAATGTCTCAACCAATTCATACTAACCTAACGAAAGCCCGGGACATGCAACTGAATCTACTAACTAATAGATTGCTCACCACACATCATATATTTATAATACCAGAGCTATTAATAACAAAGGGACAGCTCTTTTACCCGTTGCCGAACAATAAATCGAGCTGGAAATAAATCAAACATGCAACAGGCTTTGGTTGAAGAATAAACGTGCCACACATTGACACAGGTTTAACAGACATAACCGCTATTATATTTCAATAACAAGGTCACTGGTATCTAGCTATGGCAGCCTAAATACCACACGAGAAGGGATATAGTGGTCGGAGACATATGATACAATTGACCAAAATCATCCAGAGGAAGACTATAAATGAGAAGAAGAGATTTGGAGAGAGACGAGATATTCTACTTGGAGGTGACTAACCTCCATGACCAACTATTAGTAGGCGAGCACGTCATACACCCGCAGAAGGAGACGGATATTCAAACTATTATAGGACTAATAGTGGGCAAGGGACGACAAACTATTCTCTCAACGGGCACAATCGCATACGAGCCAAGCCAATGTCAAAAGGTCTTCTGCTTTGCGTTCCCTAGGAGGAATCTAAGGTGTGAGATCGGCTCATCTTGATCCAGAGTATCTGGCTGATTGGCATAACTAATAGACCAGTCGTGGTTAGCCGTGAACCGGAATGGCCCTAGTCGAAATAGCCATCCAGTGGATTAGGTACATATACCGTCCGATTCCATTGCAGAGCACGGTGCTCCATTCCCCAGTCCCGGATGGCCTCAAAGTCCCGACAGGTGCGAATCACATCCAGCTTGGCCTTAACAAGCTGCTGTTCTTCGTTCCAAAACCCTGTAAGTGCTGTGACATCCGCTGCGCACATTAAGCTTTGCCTTATCGAATCAATACAATGATCAACATGCTCTATGGCGTTCCTTTTTGTTTCAGCTGCGCCAGGTTCATCATGGGTGCGGTTGTCCACACTCGACTCGTGCGACACGGCGTGCCAGAACCAGTGCCTAATCCTGTTCTACTATCATTAGCTCTATGGAGAAATTACGAAGGAAGAAACCAACCAAGCAATGAAGCTGATAAAACACATCTATCTGCACGTAGAATTCACCAGGGTACTCGAAAAAGGGGACTGTCTTATTGGATAGCTTGATTGCCTCCGAAAAAGGGATCTTGCTAATTCCAACTATGCAGTGTTAAGTCTATCAATCAACCGGAATCGGGTTCTTACCGTCGTAGAGGTCTTTCCATGCCTGCTCTGACTCGTCTGTCGGGGGGCCCTGGTACTTTGTTCTTGGAGCTCCTTGTAGTCCACTAGCGGAGAAGATGGTGTCTTTGTATCGGACAGCTGCTTCAGCGGGTGCTACATATATCTGCCAATTAGATAGAGTACGGACAACGGGACGGGAGGCTCACAGTAATGATGTCGGGGTCTAAGGAACAGTGGTGACGAGGTGATCCAGGCTACCACCGCTACCACAGTTATCAACACTAAGCAGGTCAACAGTCCCAGTATAATACAATACAACCTTCGTTGTTGAGCGATTAGGTGGGAGCAAGTCACTGCATGCTTTTCTTGTATCAGGAACGGGTCCTCCTCAGGGTTCCTTTTACCATCCCTTTGCGTGGAAATCATGGTGGTCCGTGGGTTGGCGCATCGGTCAAATCGATACTGAGCATATATATATAATTGATTCTAGTACTCTTGGCAATAATGGGAGAAACAAGGTGGAATTTCTGGCCTCACCTATCAGACGTCTCGGTGCGTGCCGCAAGGGATATCGCCCTTGCAGACAGTACCTGTCTATCGGCCCTCTAGGAACATTACATGGTTAGACTCCAATTTTCAGTGAAAATAATCTTCATCGACGGCGACGTGGAGCTACTGAACCTATATGGACTCAGACTATCTACACCGGAACAGTTGGAGGTTTGGGACTTTGAAATTCAGTCGCATTCCGGATTAAGGTAGACCACAAAAGGGTTGATGCTGGGTATCCCAGCAAACAAGATGGAATCTCGGATTCATGTCAGTAGCTCAAAGCGAGGACATCCCTTGCTTTGGGATTCATAACAAGCATGCACCTGTACCTGTCACAAACAGAAACTGACATTCTACCAGTGCGATATATCCCGGCATTGCTCACTTACGGATCGAACTAATAAACCTCTTATGAGACCCTGTGAGGAATTATGTCTCAGATGAAGCCAGCCTTGTGGATTTCCCAGCACTGCAACCTACATACTCGACACCACGACTATCCAACTCAATGTTTGATCTATGGTAATGCTACGTTACGTATGGTATGGCAAGTCCATACTAGTATAGTCAATACGACACTTGAATACAGATTCAAAGGGCAATGGTGGACCTGAAATGTAGCAATGGAATGTAGGGGCCATTCAGACAATAACTGAACATATCTACAATGCAAGGAATGCTTTGCTTACTATGCTTCTTTCCATCTTCAGAGTGTTCAGATCGATGTGGGCTGCCCTACTTATATGCCTGTGCCTCTTTCCAGGACTTAGCGGAACCCTCATCGTCACCTTCATTATGGCTCTGCTCTTCGACTATTCATACCAAATCACGTCCTATCTAAAAAGCCCTCACCAAACATACCAGTATCAACATGAAAGTCTCGTTGGCCCTAGTGTCGATCTCTCCCGTGGCGTCAACTCTTGCAGTACCTTCTACGCGAGAAATCCCTGATGCGAAGAGCATTGAACGCCCAAGGCTCAAGTCGGCAAGCTCTCACATGATACTCCGTCAAGGAAATACCGGCGATGTCACCGTCGACCAAGCCGGTGTTTAGGCAGGCCCGTGGGTCTGGAAACGTGACGAAAGCTCAGCTGATGCAACTGTTAACAAAACCGGCTTCTGGGACGGCCCTTAGGTCTGGAAGCGAAATCAGAAGGCTACTGAAACCAGCATCGATGTTACTGAAAACTAGAAAGAGAAACCGTGTTTGGGCATCAAGAGGAACTCTTCCCACAACCCGGCTTCCAGTATAAGTGAATCGATTATAATAATCGATATGGCGGACTGGAGCACGCAGGAGCTCCATGTCTAAAGCAAGAGCCAACCTCATGTGGTTGGTCAGGGCTTTAACTAATTGAAGTTGTTCATCGACGCTGTATTCCAGGGTACCATGTATTCGAAATTTGGGCCCACCTGTAACTGTTCCCGGGGCTTGCCCACTTCCATAATCTTGTGACTTGATTCTTGTTAGGCAATTTGCCTGTCTCTCTTCACATTGAACCTTCTGATCGTACCTAGCTAATGCTGCGAATCGTCAAACATTGTTTTCAACACATATAGGGACCCAAGCTTCATGGGATCTTCAGGGGAGAGTTAGCATTGGAGACTGTTTAGTTTTACCTTGCTCGATTAGGTTCTACACATACCGGTCATTGCTTATAACTGATCTAACTGTAGTTGTACTCCTTTATACTTGAAACTAGGATCAATAGAAGATCGACCAACTATATTCTCATTTTCATTCTTAGGTAGGGGCAGCCGCCTGGTTGCTCGGCGAAAGGATGTCAACAGCCCCCTCAACTATAACAATTTTATCATCAACCCATTGACTCTGCCAGCCAAAGCTACCTGCGAGGCTCCGCTGTCAGCCAACGTACTCCATTGGGACTAATGCTCTGATCACTACTCAGGCCATTTCTCTTTGCAGCGCTTAGATTCCACTGGTAGATTACTAGGTACTCTGGCATCCCGAACTCCCGCTTACCGCAAGTCATCATGCAGTTGTCCCCATGCACCATGATCAGAAATCGCGTCAAGCTCGCCGTCGTCTTCCTCAGCTATATCCTTCGTGCTACATGACCGTGGGAAGAATGGATTGTTGAACACCGACATCGTCCAAAGCCAAGCACCCTGCACCCCAGCCGCCGAGGTCTCAAAATGATCGAGACCCAAATACCGACGATACCACACTTTCACACCGTTTTTGCAAAACTCCTCCACCAAGTCATCGGTATGGGACACGGGGGCAGTGATATCATCGTTTGTGCCTTGATAGATGTATAAAGGAAACTTCGGATAGCTTCTCTTTCCCATGAGGCCAATATAGTCCAGGGTATCCTTGAATTTGTACAAAAAATGGTTCCCGTGTTTAAAGAAGTCAGAGATATCTGCATTGCTTAGGGGAGGTCCTGGAACATATTCACGAGGCTCACAGCGACTGCAGCGCTTCTGAGGATCGAGAAAAGCAGCCTTATGGGTCTCTTTCAGGTCCGAGTGGACGAAATCGCTGACGTTCTTGTATGCGTTCATCACGCCCAGAATGGCCCAGACATTCAACTCGGAGGAGTTCCCCCCGTTAGAATGCTCATAGGTGCTGGAGATGTTGGGGGGAGGACCCCCGAGAACTGCTCCTGCGATTTTGAGCTCCGATGCGTACTCTTGGTGGTATTCGGCTGCCCATTCAGACGCGAAGGCGCCGCCGGAGTAGCCGAACATGACTGTTCGGGCGGAGGGGCTGATCCCGGTGGTGTCGTGTGAGTTGAGGGCTGCGCGGATGGAGTCCAGCGTGTGGTAAGCACTTTGAGGACCGACTGTGAAGGCGGCATTGATACCTTCGTAGTCGGGGATGTTCATGACTGGGCCTTGTTGGAGCCAAGGGAGAACGGTGTAGAGTTGGGTTCGGCTCCAGGTGGCGGCGGCGCCGGCTACGCTATGCTGCAACCCGTACGACGGGGAGCAGTTGTTGTCTGGCGAGTCATAGGCAATTTGGAGGGAGAGGATGCGCTTGAAGTTTGGTCGGACAGGGACGACGATGGTTGTAACGGCATAGGCTGGCTTTTCGTATACGTCTTGAGTGACGTATAACAATTGATAGGCCTTGGCTTTGCTTGGTAGGCTGAGCCACAGTGATGCCATGGTCACATCGCGAGCTTTTATGATATATCCCGGCTTTTGTGTATGCCAGGTGTCGTCGTGTGGATCGGGGTGGTAGAAGTCATCGACATCTGGCTTTTGTGGGAGATCCACAGCGAAGGCTTGGAGAAACCCAAGGCTTAGAACCAAGAGAATACTGTAAAAGAGACGCATAATGACAGGAATGAGGCTATGTACTCGGCTGGGTGTTTGGGGAGAGAAATTTGGGGGGTTATTTGTTGCACTTTCCATGATATATACACCTACAGGGGGGGAGTGCAGGTATATCCGAAGTCATACACGTCATCTTTCCTGCCACTCCGTTTGCAGAGTATACTATGCTTATGTAGCATTTGTAGGTAACAAATGTATCTGTTTCCATACGTCATGTTTTCAAACCCAAGAAGGACGTAATATATGACATTTCTAGATTACCTCCATATGTGGAGTACCAGAATAGTGTCCGCAGCCAGAATCCAGACAGGTGCAGTATAAACTAAAACGGGAGATCAACGTATCTTTGAGACCCAACTCCTTCCATTTTGCCTGTGATGGAACCGTTGTATGAAAAGTGTAATAGCCATAGCGTCTTTTCTTATCTTTTGCTAGTCAATGACATTTGCATAGTACATGGACTCATGAAAACCTTACCTGCTATTATCACATTTTGCATAGAAATATACTATATTTTACAACTGTACTTGGACTTCTCTGGAGCAGGTTCACCGGTCAAGACCATCGTACTTTCCGAATTCCAATGCTATATCTATTCTTGAGTTCATGTAGTCTTATATATAGCCGTATCACGGGCAGATGTAGGAGGCCGAAAGGACACAACTAGCCAAAGCCACCGTACCTAGTGTAAGAGACAGAAGCTGCACCAAAGCTCATTGCATCCCACTGCATGGACCTAACCTTGGTGGTGTGTGATCTAGATACAGAAGGGGCATTAGCGAATCACTCATATTAGCAAATACTACCCCCGAGACTCACCGAATGCCAGTGAATTATAGAGTATAGAGTAGCCCGGCGCAAGACAGAGTAGATCTCGAACTGAGCAATGCGGATCAGAAATTCTTTAAATTTTACGCTGACTTAGGTGAGCCCGCTGTTGTATACTGGAGCCAGCCATCTCAAGCAGATTCCGCATTTCGACGGTTTGCCTGCTCCACGATGCCCTCCCAACGAGCATTGGCCATAAATATGCCTTCAATAAGGGCAATCAGCAACAAAGCCAATGCCGTTCCCACTGCCAGCCCCTGCAGCTCCCAATGAAAATGAAAGGCTAGAGCCAGGGAGACTGGAATTCCCACCTGTAATGTGTGCTTAGTATGGCAAAGTATCTCATGACTCAGGCTAGGGACCTTAAAACGATTCACTTACCCCGTAGTAGCAAATCAGAGCGGTAATACCTCCAACGGTTTGCTTTCCCAGTCCTCGCAATAGGCCATTGCAGGAAGTGGCTAGCGAGTCAAAGACCTGAGAAATGCCCACCAGCGGCAAAACCGTACTGACAAGATGGATCACCTCTGGATTCCCTGTAAATAATTCTGGAAGTTGGTTCCGAAGGGCCCCAAGAAGGGTGGCCACAAGAAGACCGAAGACGAGAGCAGTAAGCCCTGATACCCTTGCTGCCACCTTAGCGGCATCTGCGTGGCCCGCGCCGATCAATGTGGATACGCGAGTGGCAGCAACGATGGAGATCGGAAAGTGGAAATTGAAGGCGATTGCCCCCAAGGTCGCGATCGTCGACTGCGCAGCGAGGTGTTCGACGGAAATGAAACTGGAGGCCAATGTGAGGAGCTCCCATGCCATGAGTTCTGCCTCCACCATAAGCATCCCCGGAAGGGCAAGCCGGACCATTGGCCACCAATCTTGCAAGGCCGCGCGTGTGAAGCCATTCCAACATTCAGATCCCGCAATGCAGGCAATGTAGACGGCGAGGAGGGTGGGCATCAGCGTCTCTACCACGACAACGGCCATTGGGGCTCCGATAAAACCCCAGTTAAAGACCTTTAGTGGGATACCTCAATATTAGCGAGACCACCGTACTTAGAAAATGAACAGTTTGCAAGATCATACCCAGACAAAAAGATAGTTCAAGATCGCATTTAGCGGGGCACAAAAGAGCAGAATCCACACCGTCGCGGAGAAGAGGCCCTGGGCCAGCATGAATCTCTTCCCACACTCAAACGCAGCGTATCCAGGAGTACCCAGGACCAGGACTCTCAGGTATGCACCTGCCATCTCCGCAATCTGGGGCTGTACAAAGATCTTCAGAATACTATCCGCGCAGACCCATGCAATTGCAATCGGGACGGTCATGAACCACAGGAAGCAAACCATGCGTTGACAATGAAGGCCAACGAGATCCTTCCGACCGGCACCGTAGGCAGAAGGGCACAGCGTGTCGAGGCTGGTCGCCAGTCCTTGATATATCGCATACCCGGTGATGTTAGCCGTGAGGCTCGCCACCGCAGTGGCTGCTAACTCGACTTTCCCAATATGCCCGACCGCAAAAATACTGGCCGCAGTGAACGAATACTCGAGCAGGAACGTGACGATCAGAGGAGCCGACCTAATTAGAAGAAGCCTGCATTCCATAGAAGGCGCCGCCTCTCCGCCAGGTGGCAGACATAGGCTTCCCTCGTACGGTAAGGACGGATCCGGATGGGCATTGTCCAGATTCTGTTGGCTGGCGAGGAGAGGTGATGTCTCTGATGGATTGCTCAGGTCCTCGTTCGCGGTCATTGTGCCTTGCTGGGGACCTAGGAGTCAAAGGGTGACACCAGAAGAGATTGGGGAGGTTCAAGATTGCGTGCGGAAAGGGAGGAAGAACAGCGAAGGGTATGTATATGACTTAGAATAATATGTGGGGTATTGTGGTATTGGAATGGATCATACTGAGTAGTAACTGAGGCTGTAGATGTGGAACCTCCTATGGAATTTTCAACGGAATGAACCAGACTTTTCCGGCTACGTCAAACCCTTGAGGGAAAGACTAATGGTTATATAAGCCGTTCCTTTGTGGCCTGAAATCCTCTTGGGCATCTCCTTCCGTTTTCCCGTATTGTTCCTGAACCACTGTTCTTCAAAGCTATACACATGTCGTCCACCACCATGGATGAACAACGCCTCCATTCTCGTCCCCAGGACCTTGACCCTTCGAAACGCTGGGTGATTGGCGCGGCCATCTTCCAGAATCCTACGGCGCAGAATCGATCCCTCTTGCTACTGAAGCGAGCTAGCCATGAAACAGCCTTCCCCAACGCATGGGAACTTCCAGGCGGCCATGTCGAACAGACGGATAAGACCGTCGCGTACGCTGTCGCACGAGAAGTCCTAGAAGAAACCTCTCTGACCGTGTCAGAGATTATTGGCGAAATCGAGCCGATGACATGGGAATCAAAGACGAAATCGAATTTCCAACTCAATTACGTCGTCACTGTCAGGCCGGGGTTGACGGTCCAGCCCAACCCCGACGAGCACTCAGACTGGCTGTGGGTCCAAGAAGGACAGACAGATTCGCTTTACATGACAACGGAAATGAGAAAGGTTGTTCAGAATGCGTTCGACTTTTGTCGGGCTACTTAGATTGCTAGCACTTGTCCTAAGCCCGACCGGGGATTGGAGAAGAACAGAAAGAATATGGAAGCAATGCGTGGAGGGTTGATATCTTGCGTGAACGTCAGGCTGATGGTTTCGGTCATCTTTATCTATGCTGATAACGCCCCTTTTGTTGCAAAACCGGGTGAGATGTCTGTTCGCAGATGATACTTAGACTTCCTTTGTTATGTTACCCTTTTGAGGCCTAAGGGTCCCTCATCTAGCTAAATTAAAGGCGTACGTCATTCGATTTAATCCCGTTTTGTATCCAAGGCTCGGATATCAGGCTTATCAACCCAAATGGGCTAGTGTATACCTGTATACACGTCGTTGTCCGAAGAGCTGTAAGACCACTCATGGCTACATACGCAGCATCGACTAACATAGTTCGCAATGCTGGGTGGACAATGATGGAGATCTTATGAACGACCATTCTTCAACTGCATCTATTTACCAGTTCAATCTACTCTAATTCTTGAGAAGAAAATGGCCCTCGCCTCTAAGATCCTTCACGCCCAGGACGGATGGTCCCTGAGAGCAGCGACCTCCACTGGCTCCAAGGAACACGGAGAGAGGCCTTTGGGCGGTGCATCCCCATTCGGTTTGACATAGTATATTGTCTCGATCCCGTTGTCCTCAAGAAATCGGCGGACTTTTGGATAATCCAAAGCAACCTGACTTACCCCGTGGCTGTCATCAGAGAGTACAAATCGCCCACCAATCCGGAGGAACTCCTAAGACCATTTTAGCATTTGCTTGTCTGTCCAGTGAATACCAACTAACTGTACCTTGCAGATGTCAGGGTGTGGATAGGGTGTATTCATCTGCTTTCGGAGACTGGCTGAATTGATTTCTAGCGCGCCACCGTACTCATGGATGTACCGAAGATTCCGGACGATACGTTCCCAGATATCCTTCTTCGTATGTAAGTTCGCAGACCGTGCCTTACTGCGGAGTGTAATCACATCGAAATGCCCTACGATGGTAGGCTTCAGTTCAACGAGCATCTGGAACTGTGCGTCGTAGTAGTCCCGATATAGTAACTCCTCTGACCCGCCAGAGGCAATGGTGGCCTTCTCGTAATTGGAGGCTAAACCGTCGATAATATGGGTGTGGACATGGTGAATGGAGCCGACGAAGAAGTCAAAGCTGTAGGACTGGAGAAGCTCCGCGATGATGGTTCGGGAGGATGGGCGGATCCAGTCAATCTCAAATCCTATCAACACGGTAATATGAGATTTATACTTATCCCGCAATTTGCAGGCCTCATGGTAGTAGTCGTCGAAGAGCTTGAAAAGAGTCGCTCGCGTCTCTGACGCTGCTATCTGTTAATTCCCCCGTCAAGATCATCAGTTGTATCCAATCAATCCAGAGGAAGGGGGGGAGAGGGTCGCACCTCTTCAGGGTAGAAGTCGGCCTCATCCCGGGGAATGTGCTCAGTGAAGGAGTAGACTTTCAACTGCTTTCTAATCGCAGCCTTCAGGACATCTTCCAGGGTATCGATAGCGTGACCACAGAACTGGCCAGAATGGCTATGGTGAGAGAATGGCATACTTCAACAGTAAACTGAGGTATCACAGGAACTTCAGCCCCTCACTTGCTGTTTTACAGAAGTTACACTGAACACGCAAACCTGGATTGTATCGAGGCCACAGCCTATTCTAGTAAGCAAAGCATCGTACAGAGAGGGAACATGCGTTACCACTGTGCTCCTTGAGATCCGTGGATGTATGTACCGTGATATACGTCGTCGAAACCGGACATGTACTCTTCGGCCGGGCCCCAATTCATATCCTTTTTCTCAAAAGATTGTGCATCCCTGTGGGCCAAGTACCAACTGCGTCTGAATCCCTTGAAACGCAAGGGGCCTTGTGTCACCTCAAACTCAGCTCTGTTAGGGAGCACTACATATTTACCCTCATCCATGGTCTGGCCAAGGTGCCTAGGGCCTAAAAGTGAAATACTTCGTCAAGCAAGGGCCGCCGAATAGGGTAAGGTCGTAAAAATGTCACCAACAATGTCTCGGTATGTGGTCCCACATCCTAACGGCACCTACCGTACCGTTAGAAAGCATGCCAGCTGCTCGGCCAGCCAGTGTCAATTCCGTACTCATGGAATGCCCCGTGAGTATGGGGCACACCATGTACTGGTGTCTTGATGGTTTGACTCTATTTCACTCACATCATTCTATAGTACACCCAGAGCACTGTAGATGAAAAGCGGAAGGCAAGTGACAGTTTCTAACGTTACATGTAGTATCCTTTCGAGTAATAACTTACGGAAAAGGCGCAATGTCTATGATGCAATGGGCGCGTGACCATAGTCTCTCAACTCGCTACTTACGTATAGCATAATGTAACATGAAGGTATATTTAGCAGACGATATGGGGCCCGGTTTTACGACATTCTATGTGCTCTCTGGGGGTTAAGGCGTTGAAATGGCCTCGGGTTGTGGAATGAACGGTGACTGCGGTACATCTCTTGAATTGTGTTTAGCTCAATGACTGTCACAAGGTCTAGCAGGATGCAGGGTAGGACTCTACAGTTGCATTCGGGCACTCTGACTACTGTGGATATACAACTTTACCGGAAGAGAAGGCATCAAGATAACTGGATCCGGGGACACGTGTAGCATCTCTCAAAGCATAGGGCTCAGAGCCAAAGCCGAACAGCATAGCAGCGCTCCAGCACCATGCTTCCCCCCGCAGGCTCGCTCGTTCTGGTGCTATCTGTAGGAAATTCAGTGTAACATGATTGCTGAGGATATTTGTGTCGTCCACAATTCGCTCTACTCTAAGCCTTTCCATCTCTATAAAGCTGCCCCTACCTCCGAACCATCATTTATATCCTGCTAAGTCTCGTCTTACCTGCACAGCTTCGGTGACGCCTTACATCATCGCAGGTATCACCATGTCCCCAATACTTCAATTTCGCGAATTGCGTCGTTCGAGCGGCTTGTCCACTGGCTCTAATAGCAAGCACGACGAGCAGACCTGCTTGATAGTGGGCTTGGGCCAACGAACAAAGAAGAAAGCAATTCCTTCTCTTTTGAAGCTTGTGAAGGACGGATGGGTACAAATCGCTGGTGCTGTAGATCCATTTGTGCAGACGGCACCCATCGACAAGCTTTCCCTATACCCTACTGTCAATGACTTCCTGAAAGCCAATGAACGCCCTACCGTGGCCTATGTTGCGGTCCCCCATCACGAATATAAAAACGTCTTACCTGGACTGTTCCAGGCTGGAACAAACGTCCTGAAGGAAAAGCCTGTTGCCTGTAACAGCAGCGAAGCAGTTGAGCTTAAGAGGCAAGCCGATGCGCATGGCGTGAGAGTTGGCGTCCTCTGTCAGCGGCGGTTTTCCCGAAGATACAATGCCCTGGAAGGATGGATTCCCCTGTTGGGAAAGATTAGCTCCGTCCAAGTTGTGGAAACTATTGATGTCGCCGAACTGGCGGAAGGTTGGCGCGCTCGCAAGGGACTTGCTGGAGGCGGTGTTGTGATTGACATGGGATACCATATGCTCGACCAGCTCGTCGGCCTCTTTGGTGAGCAGTTCACTGTTCGACATGCTGCACTGATGAAGACCCGTCAGGGTGACTATGATGTCGATGACACCGCCCACGTTTCTGTCGAGTTTGCCCAGGGTGTAAACGCAACCGTTGTTCTATCCCGTTCTGGTGCGAAAAATGAAGAGAGAATCTCTATTATCGGAGAAGGAGGCATTTTGTCCCTGGATGGTGACCTCGTTCGTCTATCCTTGCGTGACGACACAGGCAGCCTCACTCCAACTGAGGAGTACACCGTCCAGGAACCTTCTTCTGTTCTGCTCGAGAGAGGATTGGTGAGCTTCATGGACGGCGTCGATGCACAGAAGTGGGACTTGAGCCGAGATATTGCGGTCATGAAACTTATCGATGAGATTTACCGGCTTGGAAATGAGTCCCTAGACACCAAAGTAGCCCAGGACCCACTCACGAAGGCGTGGAGCTGGCCAAAGGTGACACTAGATGTCGAAAGGGCCGTTGACAAACAACTCCATACTACCCTAAGTATCTATAACAACAGTGGAATTTTCGGCCAGTTCGAGAAAGCCTTCAGTTCTTTCCATAACACTCCTAATCATCATGCCCTGTTACACAATTCTGGTACAATTGCATTGTATGCCCTTTACTACGCTTCAGGGTTGGGCTCTGGAGACGAAGTTATTGTTCCTGTGTACACCTTCCACGCCACCGTCTCTCCGCTCATGCACTTGGGCGTGAAGCCCGTTTTTGTTGACGCCCACCCCGAAACGGGTAACATCGACCCGAGAAAGATTGCCCGCGCGATCACTCCCAAGACCAAGGCCGTCATTGTTACTCATATGTGGGGTGTCCCGTGTGCAATGGAAGAGATTGTTACGATTTGCCGCAAGAATGATATCCTCCTGCTCGAAGGTAGCCATGATATGTAACTTGTGTGCCATTCAGACGACAGCTAACAGATATATAGATTGTTCCCATGCCCATGGTGCATCCGTCAATGGACAGAAAACTGGCACATTTGGAGACGGCGCCGCCTGGTCGATCCAGGGCGACAAGGTACTGAGTGGTGGTGAAGGAGGTGTTTCTTTGACCCCCCACTCCGAAGTCTACTATCGACAGTTGATCCACGGACATTACAACAAACGCTGCAAGTCAGAAATTCCCAAGAACCACCCTCTTCAGGACTTTGCCGTCACGGGCGCAGGTTTGAAGAACCGGGCGCATCCACTGGCAATTTCAATTGCCAACAACCAATTGGAAAAGCTACCGGCAATCCTATACTGCAAGTCGAGATGTGTAGCTCATTTCATCCAGACTCTTGCCCCTGTTCCTTTCTTGAGGGCACCTGCCGTTGATGTTGGTTGCCAACCAGCATGGTACGCCCTGATCTTCCGGTTTGACGAGACCCAGGCTCCGCCGGGACTGACCCGTGAGCGTTATGTGCAAGAGGTCATGGCTCGCGGGATGAAGCACATTGATATCCCCAATTCTACCAGGCCTCTTTATGATGAGGCTTTGTACAAACGTCCCTGGGATGTCTTAGGTCATGTGTATAAGCCAAACACGTACACTGTGGATTGGGAGGCTGCTGACTTTCCTGGTGCTGTTACATTCCATTCGTCAGTGATTAAATTGCCCGTATGGGCATACGAAGATGATTGGGATACTGTTGAGGCGTGTGCCCAAGTCATGCTTAATGTAGCAATTGACTTCATGAAAACCACCCTCAACTAGACGAAACATATTAGACAAGCACGGAAATTTCATGTTTGCAGGACTCACGGGTTTACATGTTCTCTCATATTCCTTGGTCTTCTTTGCTTGCTCAATGTTGTTCGGATTGGTTATCGTTAGGTTAGATAAAGTACTTTAATTGCATTGTTTCATTATCCCCTACTGATCTGTGGCTTTCCTGGGGAATTTAATCTAGGCCCACAGGCTTGGGTCAGCGGACAGAGCGGCCATGGTGGTTTTTTACACTGTCAACCGCATCCATACGGCTGTGATCGGAGCGTCCCAGATAGAAGCCCTAGAATCAGGAAATAAGCCAGTGGGCACTTAGTTGTTCAGTCCGTTCAACAGGAAAATCATCGCATTCCAACGCCTGCCCCACGGGCGCAATATATTAATCTTCATCCCAGAAAGTATAACTAGGTGTATTCCTAGCTGTGGACAGAATGAAGGCCATTATGTCAAAGCAGACGGTGTCAATTGAGGGTCTTTTTATATTTATTTCCCCACCAATTGTCTATGTATGAAGATCCCGCACGTTTTGGCGCTTTGCAATGAGACTCAGCGCCCGAGCACGCCATCCACGACGATCACATTAGGGGACGGTTTAGAACAATATTTGAAATTATACTATAACCCTCACACCAGACACGGGTTAAAATTTGCTCGTTTCTCACATTGAGTTAATAGGAGGTAACAGTAAGTTAAACACTGCCCCAGGCCTCTATAGGCAGGCTCAGCTCACCACAAATGTCTCGTGCTATGTACATATTATCTCTCCTTTGGTACCCATAAGCGAGTAATGCATGGTACGGAATCTATGGATTAATTTTTGTTTGTATGTCAAAGGTTCCTTCATGTTGGTTCCGCAGGCCGCGGGATAACCCTGAGTCGCAACTATATATATCCCGAGTTAAGTGAAGAAATTTATGCCGAACAGTAATCTAGACTTTCTTCCTTTGCAAGATGCTTACAGTTTGAAAAGATTATAATTGATATACACAATATTCGACATCTATTGTTATATTGACAAATTTCCTGTGTTAACTACCCACGAAATCTCACCGCACTACATACTTCTTGGAGTAAACCTTTCACAAGAACATTCCGGCGATTAGATAGCTCGTTATCCATCCTATTGCAAAGGCGCAGATAGGGAACAGCTACAGCTATCTCTTCGTAAGTGTCGTTTATTGTGTTGGTAAGTTCCTCGCTGCTGCAGCTGCGGCAGTAAGCTGGAGAGCCGCAGGTGCGTCATCTTTAGGCATGTATAACTCCACAAGCTGGGAGGAATCAGTTGGTCAAATGGCACAGATCTACATCAAGTACTAGAAGGCCTACCTGGAAATGAGGAGCAGAGGAGAAGCGGGTATTGTTAAGTAATGAGGTACGCTCATCCCTGGTTGAAGCTTGGTAGGTACTGTAGGAATGTTGGCATTGGGCCCCAAATGCCTCAACCAAAGCACCATACTTCCATGGATGAATATCGTTATACTCTTCATCCCAGCCGTGGATATAGCGCTCGATAGTGTATCCACTATTGCAGATTGCGAATCTAAATGTCGTTAGCATACCAAAGTAAGCTTATTCAATCTTAGAGATGGGGCCTGACATGATAAGATTCAATTTCTGACGTATCATTGTGCTCACTTCTTGCGCCGTCATTTGGAAGCTGCCATCTCCCACAAAGAGTATTACTCCTCACTTCTCAGCCTCTTGGACAGCCAATGAAGCTCCAAGGCATGCGCCTACAGAATATCCGATGCTACCCCAGAGGACCTGACTGATCGCAGTAACACCCTTGCGAAATCTCGTTTCCCATATTCCAAAGCTTGAAGTACCGGTCTCAGTAATGACGATATCGCCCTCCTGCAGCCAGTTACCGACTTCTGGCCATAACCATGAGTGCGTAATGGGCCCATTTGATACCGTAAGAGTGCTACTGTGCATTGTGCCTCTGAAAGATGTGGGTTCAGGTTGCACATATAGGTAGCCCATCCGGGCCATGACCTTTTGAAGAATGCCTCGCATCCTCACCTTCGGATACAGTGAATACCGGACCTGAACATGGCCGCTGTAAAAGTCGATGGTGTTTAGCTGACTGGTACGGTATGAGAATCCCGTTGTATTGAAGTCTGGTTTCAAAGGTCAGATGCTGAGGATCAAGTCGGCAGACTCCACCCTCGTGGCGACTCCCTCATTGGAACCTGTCCCCGCATATACACCTCCAAAGTTAGGTAGGGTCTCATCCACTGCACCTTTCCCCATGGGTGTGACAAAGGTCGGGAAGCCAGTTTTCTGGATCAATTGATGGACGACTCCAAGCACAGCGTGACGGATTGCACCAGCATCAACCAGGATAACCGGAGTTTTAGCGGCGCGAAGATATCTCAACACCACATCTACCACGTATTCCTCCGTTTCTGTTTCATTTACAGGGTCATCAAATTCGATTGGAATCTGAAGTCGTTCTCCTTCAACCTTCTGCTGTACCATATCTGTGGGTAAAGCAATGTATACCGGTTGGCATTACATCCAGCACTCCCGCAGTGCATGATCAATCAATGTTGGTGCATCATGAGGATCCGTGATCTTCGCCGTAGTCATAGAAAGATTGGCGCTCATGTTGGCAAACACATTATAGTCACTGTTTCCCAAGGTATGGTGGAGTAGCATGCCATCCTTCTGCGACGCAGTGCTGGGTTGGCCAACGATATGCACCACCGGAACATGCCCTGAATATGCCCCGGCAATTGCGTTTAAGGCCGAAAGTTCGCCGACCCCAAATGTTGTAACAATTGCTGAAATTCCTTTGATCCGGGCGTACCCATCGGCAGAGTATCCTACCCAAATATCAGTGAATCTTGCGTCTGTGGCGTGAAGCACTTCACAGGAGGAAGCTATACCGGCATTCAATTCATTACAGTTCCCAACCTATTTGAGGCCGACTTTTGGGATATAATCCAACGCAGCTAGGTTATAATCTCCTTTTAAATCTGTGAGCATAGTGTGGGCGGCATAGGGAGAACAAAAGGAAGACGAAGGATTACCAGGGACGCCTTGTACTGTTCGCACCCCAAGTTGACATAGCCGAGTAAACAGGTATTCTGCAATATCTATAGGGGTTTTCATCGCGGAAACACGAATGTCTGATGCCATGATTGAAGGTACTGAGGATAATCGTAAATTTAACACCCAACTATACAACAACGCGACACCGTAAAAGCTATTTACTATGCTCGCGAATTGTTGGTCATCGTCGTTAGGCCGGCATAGAACACTGGATTAGTAGCTTTCAAGCAGGTTGGCGCAGTGGAAATAAGAGTAAAGACTATTGTTAAGTGTGACCATTAAAAGGTTTTACAAGGGTTTAGTGTCTAGTGATGCTTTTGGGAAACTACATGCTCGGAGATAGAATATTCTGATGTTATCATACGAGCTATGCAGTGGGATATTCGGTTTATGGGATGGATTCCTAGCTATGTCTCGAAGCCCTTGTATTGGCAGACGAGGACCGATGGCCTGACTATCGAATAGATCACCTGAGCTGGACCCATGGGATGCCATACTGAGTTCCATGTGTAGAGTATTGAGCTAATATGCATGGCCTGGATGTAAGTACGGGATTACATCATTTACTGGCCAATAGGGGTAAGGAACATGGAGCATATCATGTTTAGGGACTTGCCTGTCACGTTCTGGCCCTTCGAACGACAGCATCATTCATTCCATCTTCTGCTAGGGTTCCAGACACCCAGAAATTGAGTCGTACATGGCATGATGTGAGTGAAGATTGTGTTGCCAAGTTACGGATCCTTTTCCAACCGTTCCATGTGGCACCTGTCTCAAATACGAGCTTTGGATATATGACATCGCCCTCCCAACTACCAAATATAAGGCGTCAGACCTTTTCATTGTCGGTTTCTGTGTGAGGCTGTATATCCCAATTACTAGCTGATAATGCCGGCTGAAACTAGTAACCCAAATACACGCGTGGCCATTGTGGGTGTTGGCCAGGTCGGTTCTGCTGCAGCATACGCTCTCATCCTGGGCCGCGTTGCTGATGAGCTGCTCCTTGTCGATGTGAAGGCAGAGCTGAGAGACGCTCAAGTCCGAGACCTTGCGGATGTGGCCTATGGCAACAACAGCGGTATACGTGTACGAGCGGCAACTTACCAAGAAGTCGGCCGATGCGATATCGTGGTCATTACTGCTGGGTCAAAACATTCCAGAGGTAACTTGATAAGGCTTCCTAACCTCCTAACATCTCTACTTCTTCTACTCAGCAGGGTCTTACGTCATTGATAGGCGAAACCACTGTGCAGCATTTATACCACAAAATCGCAATCATCCGGGGCATAGTCGATGAGGCGAGGCCCTTTCGCTCCGATACAATTCTACTAATTGTGGCTAACCCTGTCGACCTGCTCACCTCCCTCGCGCAAGAGCTTTCCGGGCTTCCAAAATCCCAGGTTCTGGGGTCCGGTACATATCTTGATTCGGTCCGAATTCGCGGACTCTTGGCAGAGAGGGCTGGGGTGCGTAAGACATCAATTATTGCCTGGCTACGGCGTCCCAGGGCCTACTAATTGATTTCTAGATCGCAACTAGTTCTGTTGATGCCCAGGTCGTAGGTGTGCACGGACCTTCGGAGGTAGTTGCATGGTCCGGTGTGACTATTGGGGGTGTCCCCATCACACGATGGTTCCCTCAAAACACAGACATGCTCACTGATGTTGCGAATGAATGCAAAGCTAAATCGCAAACGATTATTCGGGCCAAAGGGGGAACACCGTTCGGAATCGGCTCAGTAATTTGTAGTATTTGCTCTTCCATCCTCTTGGATAAGCGGGATGTCTGCTGTATCAGCCACTATCTCTCCGAGTACAAGTGCTGCATTAGCCTTCCTGTCGTGCTGGGTAGGGGAGGGGTCATGAAAGCGATTGATATGCAGCTGGATCGTGAAGAATGGGAGGACCTTAATGAGACAGCGCAGGAATTGAAGTGTACGATGGAAAGATTGAAGTCTGATGAGTCACGGTGATTTGAGCTCCACCATCCATGTAGGTAGCAATATGCGCCTTGTGCCGGGGTAATCGAGAGTTGTTTTCGCAATCGTGTCTCTAGGATAGGAGGCCAAATGAGCGAGTACTACCCGTTGCAACGATTGGGCTGGCTCCCATCTACTTCCTTGAAAAGGTTGGACTAGCCTGTTTACTTTATGAGACTAGATATTAGGAAGAAAATGATAAGTGGATGGTTCATTACTAGACTTGAAATGAAGACAGGGAGAGCGGGAAAGGGGGAGGCGTAAGTCACTTTTCTTCGAGTAGCCGATTTTGATACTTGATAGCGCAATCTCCTGGTCATGCATTTTCGCCCGCAACGACATGCCTTTTCACCGCAAAGAAGCTGTCCGGGCTAACAGAGATCGAATCGATTTTTAATTGAACCAGGAACCGAGCAAACTCGGGGTGGTTACTTGGTGCTTGGCCGCAAATGCCGATTTTGCAACCCTTTTGCTTTGCCACCTGGATAACCTGCTGCAGCATCCACTTGATTGCCTTGTCCTGCTCATCGAAAAGGTTAGCGAGTTCCCCGGAATCACGATCGACGCCGAGGGTGAGCTGAGTCAAATCGTTGGACCCGATAGAAAAGCCGTCGAAGTATTCCGTAAAGTCGGCTGCGAGAATGACATTGGACGGAATTTCACACATAACGTAGACCTGCAATCCATTCTCCCCCCGTCTGAGCCCATTCTCAGCCATAGCATCCAACACCTTCTTCGCTTCTCCTACGGTTCGACAAAATGGGATCATCACAATGGCATTCGTGAAGCCCATGGTCTCTCGTAAACGCTTAATTGCACGACATTCTAAGGCGAATCCCTCCTTGTAGTGGACGGAGTAATATCTGGAGGCGCCACGAAAGCCTAACATGGGATTTTCCTCGTCCGGCTCAAACTCACGGCCACCTACAAGACGGGCATATTCATTCGTCTTGAAATCACTCATACGGATAATAGCAGGCTTAGGGTAGACGGCAGCACACAAGGCTGCAAACCCGTGGGACAACTTGTCAACAAAATATTCCGCTTTATCGTCATACCCAGTTGTCAAGCGGAGAATATCCTTCTTGGCCTTGACATCTGTCAATCGATCAAAGTGAACCAGCGCCATAGGATGGACCTGAATTGCATTGGTGACAACAAATTCCATACGGGCGAGTCCAATGCCATCTGCGGGAAGTCTCCACCAGCGGAAAGCTGCTGCTGGGTTGGCGAGATTGAGCATGACGTTCGTTCGAGTTTCGGGGAACTCAGTCAAATCCACAGATTGAGTAGTGATCTCCGAACTCCCCTCGTAGACAAACCCGTTGTCGCCCTCTGCGCACGAAACGGTGACATCCTGGCCGGTATGCAGGATGTAAGTCGCATTGCTCGTACCAACAATTGCTGGAAGACCCAGTTCCCGGCTGATGATAGCCGCATGTGAAGTCCGTCCGCCGTGGTCCGTGATGATGGCTACAGCCCGTTTCATGATGGGCACCCAGTCCGGGTCGGTGGTTTCAGTCACTAATATAGAGCCATCGACGAATTTGCCAATGTCCTGTGCCGATTCAATGAGGCAGACACGGCCTGACACTGCCGCGCCACCAACAGAAAGGCCAGTGGTCAACAGGCGTCCCTTTTTGCCAACCGTATACGTTTTGAAAATAGGTGCATGACTGCGCGAATGCACTGTTTCTGGCCGAGCCTGAACGATGAAGAGCTCGCCCGTAATACCGTCTTTAGCCCATTCCATATCCATCGCGCAGCCATAGTGGGTTTCAATAGTGCAGGCCCAGCGCCCCAGCTGGAGAATTTCTCCGTCGCTTAGCACGAATGTTGCTTGCTCAGCTTTCGAGGTGGGCACATTACGGGTGGGCGTCTCTGTACCGCCAAGGATCATCTTCAGTGCCTTGTCACCACGCCTTTTTTCTATGATTGGGACCAGGGTCGTATCAGCCAGGAGTGGTTTGAAGACCTGATATTCGTCTGGATTCACGGTCCCTTGCACAACGTTTTCTCCAAGCCCCCATGCGGCATTGATTAAAACGAGCTTGTCAAAGCCAGTTTCGGTATCGATAGAAAACATAACACCGGATCCACTGGCATCGGATCGAACCATTCGCTGCACACCTATGGAAAGCGCCACGCTCATATGATTGAATCCCTTAGCCTGGCGATAGCTGATAGCCCGGTCTGTGAAGAGCGACGCATAACAGCATCGACAGGCATGCAAAAGAGCCTCTTCGCCGGAGATATTCAAAAACGACTCTTGCTGTCCGGCAAAGCTGGCATCCGGTAAATCCTCTGCAGTTGCACTGGATCGGACCGCGACGCTGAGGTCAGTAACTCCGGTCTTGGAACAAAGCTGACGATAGGCAGCCCTAATGGCGGCTTCTGCATCGGCAGGCCAGTCCCCATGAAGGAACAGAGCACGCACCGCATGGCCGGTTTCAGGAAGAGTTGTCTTTCTCAATTGCCATTTCTCAATCAACCCCGTTATTTTCTTCCGAATGTCATTGGCGTCTAAATACTGCCAGTAGGTGTTTGACGTCGTCGCAAAACCAGGTGGCACTGCAATGCCCTTTCCTCCCAAGGCAGTGATCATTTCACCCAGGGAGGAATTCTTGCCACCAACCAGGGGTCCATCATCGCGCTTCAGTTGCTCGAAGTTTCGCACAAATTTCGCGTATACACTTGTGTCATCCATCTTTATTAGATCTGCAATGAGTCACTACTATGTTACCCACCCTAAGTTGGATCACTTCTCGAAGTATTACTCCTGTGTTTTATTCCTTGCTGCCGCAAGCAGCTCGGGTTCGTAGAACCGCGGATTATGCAATGGTATACATTGTCGAACTTCTAGGCATGAGAAAGAATATCAGGAGATATTCTGAACCAGGTCATTAGACTTTCTGCTTCGGCCTAAAGTTAGGAGAAAAACGACTGTTTGTGCAATGGAGGTTGCATCATGCGAAGTCGAGACGTGGCTATAGGTGACCAGACTGGTATTTGAAAATTTCAAATTGCGACTTATTCCAGCTAGTCATCATGCCACTTGAATCAATAATATCGAACGGTTTCATTGGTATACAGGTTATTTATTCCTAGAGATATACTAAGTCTTTCTTAACCAAAGGGAGTCTGTACCATGGGCTGACTTCTCGTCACAAAATAGGTAGGATTTGGCTTTTGGCTCACGCCTGGCCCCTGATTGGCGTTGTTAACTAGAAGGTCTAATGAATCTATGGCCGATTGGTTATTAAATGGCAGGCGTGCTTACTTCATGGGCACCGACGGATATTCGTCATTCTTACAGCTAGACAGCAGAGTCATGATTACACTCATTATGTGGACTCCTATCGATCTCAAGAGGCAGCGTCAGCAGCCGCAACTGCTAAAGTTGGGCCTCCAACTCAATTTCTTTAATGCCATTTCCCCATCGCATTACGATAGTTCCATTTGGCAGTCACCAAAGAACACACAATACAAAGTGACAATCAATATTCACAGAACGTTTCAAGTATACGACCCCCCCTCCCGGAGTGCTAACCTATCTATATCTTCTCCATTTGGTTCAAAAGTACCCAGGCGCGATACCTTCGAGGCCAGAAACATCCAAGCGGCTGCATTGCCAACTGTAGTCAGGCCATCTGGTAGTCTTTGTGGGGCGTTTGAAACAGCCCGTGCGTAGAGGTCTTTGTCAGTGAAAAGATGAAATAAATGTGACGAGACGGTGTTAATGTCCCCACTATCAACTGGGAAAACGTTTGGCATGTTGTATAGGAATGAAAATAATCCTGCTTCTTTGCTAGTGATTACAGGCTTCCCCTTCTGGTGAGCCCATAGAAGGACCTCTGGTATTCCATGGACCATAGACAATTGAACGAGAACACGGGCCTCCGTCAAGAGCGTGTTCCACATCTGATCCTGAGGACCGGCCTGCACAATACAGACTTGATCTGCGAGGTCCTTCATGTTAGTGTTGATATATGCCAGCAAGCGGTCGTAGGTAAGCGAGTTTTCAGGGCTTTTAGATGGGCCGTGGTGACAAATTAGCAGCTTAGGTAGGGCTGCACCATGTTGCGTTCCGATATATCCCTTGCAAAAGGTGGCATACGCATCGAGCAGAGGAATTGTCCCGTCTCCTGGTCTTAACTGTGAGAGATGGAGAATATATTCCTCTATAGCCGTCAGCCCATGCTTTAGCGAGCATCGACCGTCACGATATGGCGGAAGTGGCCTTACCTTCAGGGTACGACGTGGTAGGGGATCCCAATATCCTGCATAGGGAGTTGAACTCCCGTCCATAGAAGGTGATGTCATTGGCCGCGATGTTTTTATTTAATCCGTCGAATCTATAAAAAGGTGAGCAAAAAACAGCTTCAGGGAAAGAGAATGTCTTACTGGTCGACAGTAACCGGTATATACCCGACATTCCTATCCGGCATGATGGAAGGTGTGAGTTCACGAGGCAGTTGGGAGACTAGAATATCGACATGCTTTAACCTTGTTTTCACAAATTCCCACACGCGAGTCTGTGGGCTTGTCGGATCCTCCAGCAATCTCTGTTGCTGAACGTGCAATCTATTTTCAAAAATAACTGGTCTTTCCGGGTCGCACTGCTTCGCTAGGAGTGCCAACGTCAACAGGGGTGCGCTATCAATTATCACCACGTCTGCGCCACCCTCTGGGCGAGGCCGCAGGGGCCCATCTTCTCGTAGCCAGTATCTCCTCGCATTTTCATAGGCGAACTCCAGGAGCTGTAGCTCGTCATCTGTCCCAAGGTATTCGTCCGGTCCAGTCAAACCTTCCATAATATTTTCCATCTTCCTTACAATTTGAATTATACTGGGCCGTGGCTTCGGGACATACCTGCAGTATCGGACTAATCAGTCCTGTCGGAAGAGTGCATTAACAAGGCTAAGGCACTCACCATTTCGTGTCTACTCCAAGCTTCTGAGAGAATCTGACCAAAGCGTGCCTTGTATGCACATCAGGCTTTCCTTCACATGTCATGCTGAAAATTGCTATTTTAACCTTCCTGTCCATGAGGTCATTTGCAAGGCCCTGGACAATACTCCATGTGTCCGGATGCACGGTCTCCTCATAATCCCGTTTATCTCCAACGTGAACACGAAAGCCCTTGTCAACCTCAACCATCCCGTCAGCACAGATATGATTGTGCAGGACGTGCCCAATACCAAATGACCTATACAACGTTAGAATCAAGGTTTCGTTAAGCAACCGCTTTCCATTGTAACATTACCGTAAACATTTGCGCGCCATGGAATCTGCTTGTTCATCGAACTCCTTTCTCTCCCAACCTCGAAACGTAGCGAGCTCGCCGGGCTCATCTTTCTCCCTAATACGGTCTTTACACTCCAGCACCAAAGGGACGGCATCAAGGTCTTTCCAGAGATGGGAGCATAGTGATGGCCATTTGTTGACAAGGGTTTGCGGTACGGCCACGGCGACTATCTTCGTCCTATTCTTCTTTCCATAGCTTCGTAGATGGGATATAAACTCGCTCGACGCAAAGGAAAGTACATGGCCACCATGAATTACCAGCCTATACACGAAGAAGTCCACCAGCTGCGTGGCATTGCGAATGGCAAGTGTAACCTTGCCATCTGAGCCTTCGGTCACAAGCTCCGATATTCCCGCATAAACAATCTAAGTACTATTATTAGTATGCTATCATCCATGTTAGGTATGTGCCCCTACTAGGCAAGAGGAGGGCTTCGTACATGTGACGGAGGACCGCACCAAGAATTATCCCGAGAGGATTGTCCGCCGATGGGGATCGGAAACTCAACTTTCGAGTTCGAAAACATTGGATGCGACTATCAGCACAAACAGCTTTTTGGATGGATGCGAACAAGTATCAATAGGTCTGAATCACCAGCTAATGTGTTTTATTCGAGGGTGACTTCCGTTTCGTACTTTGCCTTGCTCGGCTCCGGACCGCACAAGCCGTCTTCTGAGTAAAGAATGTCGTCACATTCAGAGAAAAGTCAGTATACTCAAGCTCAAGTGTGTTATGGCAAGCACAAGCAAGGGTTATTGATTGACAGGGCCAAGAAAAGTGGCGTGATATAGCACATTCGCTCACTAACACGAAGCAAGAGCTTGGCGATCAAAAACGAGCAACTTATGGGATTTGCCGCAGTGTTTTCCCCCGCCTGCAGGTTCTGTCGGCCGAAGCAATAATTATAGCCATTATGAAGATCCGATAAAGAAAAATACCCTTTCGGAATGCCCGGGGTTCTTGTCTGTTGCATGTTTCGCAACTGAACTTGAAAGTGATCATTATCAGTCATATGACAGGGTCTACGGTAGTAGCTCCAATCACGTTACCTCGAATCTCAAGCCCAGAATTTTAACTTACGTCATGTTGAGCTATACGATATCGACTGAGTCTCGTGGAATATAATGTAGTAACATTATAGGCAGGCGTAGGCTATAGTCTCGCGTATCAGATGGCGCCGACGCCAATGCGGTCACGATACTCAGATCCTACCGAGAGGACAAATAACCTGTGGTCTGTTCAACAGACTGGGACCGTCTAAAACCAGACTATGTCCACTAAGGTTGGCTAATAATCTCATTGGATCGTGTTTGAAATCTAAAAATACGTTTTAGCAAGTCAGCTGTGCGCCAGAATGTTGCGATTAGCACGGAGCCCAGCTTGAGTCAAGGTTACTAAGGAACATTGAGGAGTATATGCTACTGGTCCTAACGTCTTGGATACGAAGTGACACGTTTTCGACAAATATTGTCCGAAGCTTTCTGCCCGCGGGCAGCAAGGCTTTCGCAATGTCTCGAACCCCTGTGGAATAAATATCAACTTAGACTCCACATATGGTGACATCATAAACTTTTATCTTCACGTAGAGTATCCTTATATACATATCATGCCACAGAAGGGAGAATTCCATAGTCATATTGCAAGTCTACAATGACATCACAGTCAATATATAAAAGTCATTTCAATGAATACCAACTCAAGGGAATTCAAACGAGATGCACAGAGCGTCCAGGCCTGGTTAGTCGGCAACGGGGTGGCTTCCCTAGCTGCCGCTCTTTACCTGATTAGGGAAGGCAACATTCCCGGTTCAAACATCCATATTCTTGATCTTCACCCGGGCTTTGAAGGAGAAATGGCTACACTTGGGGATGCAGAGAGCGGGTTCTTTTTGCCATACCAATGCCTGCCTCATTTCCACGGTGCTTGCATCGAGAGCCTTTTGCGCCTCGTGCCTAGCATCCTGGATCCCGACATGTCACGACTGGACGACATTCGCGAGTTCGATAGACTGCAGCAGTCACAACCAGAAGCTGACAGGGCACTGGGAGCAATAAAATTAAAAGCATCAGCTTCAGAAACTGTGTACACAGCAGGGTTCCAAGTTGGACTAAAGCATCGATTCGAGCTAGTCAAGCTCCTCCTAGAAAGTGAGATAACATTAGCTTCAAAGAAAATCAATGACGCTTTCGATGAGTCATTCTTCGAGACAGGTTTCTGGGTGTACTGGTCTACGACGTATCTCTCTCCTATCTCACAATACTTTTTTTTTAAATACGCTAATTGACAGATAGATTTGCATTCCAGCCATGGCATAGTTTGAGTGAGTTTCAAAGACATCTTCGCAAATACTTAGAAGATATCCGGTCCCTCAAACATGTCAGTGGGTCCATCAAGACCAGATATAACCTATTCCACTCTATCGTCCTCCCGATCATTGCTTATCTGAGGGACAGAAACGTTGACTTTCGCTTCAACATCGAGGTGTCAGATATAAGATTCTATCCGGAGAGCGACCCAGCAACAGTCTTTGAGATAGCATTGGTGAAGGATGGAGAGGAATGTCTGGTTTCGCTGGACCCTGACGATATTTGCTTGGTTGACCTAGGTTTTTCACGCTCCGGTGCGGTTTATGGTACGAATGTGGCCTCCCCACCATTCTTGTCCTCCAACTGGGAGGATCTCCTGATGCGTGAATGGAGATTATGGCAAGGGCTTTCTCGCAAGTCCTCTAAATTTGGGAACCCAGTTAACTTTCTTTCGCGGGCTCTGGAATCTGGGATTGAGACCTTCACCACAACGGTACAGGGAACAGATTTCATGCGGCTATATGACAAGCTCACCTATGAGCCAGCCGGAACCAGTGATACACTGTCCCTGACAGACAGCAATTGGTTAATAACGATCAGCGTCCCACACCATCCGGTGTTTCCGTCCCAGCCAGCTGACAGACATATCGTTTGTGGATACGCACTGAGCCCTGCGAGGGAGGGCAACTTCGTGAAGAAACCCATGTTTGCTTGCTCTGGTACGGAGGTTTTTACCGAGGTTCTTTCCCATCTGGGCTTCCCATTACAGCCCATACTCGCCAAGTCAATTACTATCCCTTGTGGGATGCCGCTGGGAACTGCCCCTTTCCTGACACGCAGTAACCACGATCGTCCAAAGGTGATCCCTCATGTGACCACGAACATTGCATGCCTTGGTCAATTTACAGAGCTTCCAGACGAAACTACGTTGAGTATTGAGTACAGTGTACGAAGTGCTCAGCAGGCCGTCTATACGCTATTAGACCTCCCACGATCACCACCAAGGGTAAAGAAAAATATACTCTGGGAGATCTTCGATATACTTGTGTAATCCGTGAACTTCACAGTACACCAAATCCCACCACGGATTTACACTTCTGGAAATTCTGTGTGGTACTTCTGCCAACATGTGTATCTTGTATTGATGGGAATGCCCGTATCTGTGTCTGGGGTCCTTGTGTGCGGCCATGATGAAGCCGAAAAGAGCCTTATTGTCTTTTTGCAAGTAATTTGTGGACCTTTTCTATTCACTAACGTGCAAAAGGTAGGAGAGAAAGTCGGCCTTATATCATAAACACCTTGTGATCTATATGATTCATTGTGACAGTCGTGAAAGATAGCTGATGTTTCAGCCAGTGCCGGAATAAGGGAGATCCAAGTTCTCTTGATGCAACTTGGCTGTAAAAAGCAATATAATCAATCTTTCTGCTGTTGAGAAACCTGTTAAATGTGTTCAGTCTATCTTACAGTAAATTAAATCGATCGATAACTAGAGGAGATAGGCCTGCATCACATAGCATAGAACTTCGAGAAAGAAAAATGACCAATGGAACAAACAGAAGAAAAGACAGATGGGAAGAATAGAAAAAAACTTCAACAGGATAACTACAATCCAAAAATATCAGTTCACATGATTCGCATGGATGCCTCCGCCAACGCGACATTTTCCAGCCTCTTTGTCTGGATTACACTGATTGAATAATTTTCCCCATATTGGCTCACAGCATGCACAACTACGTTCTCACCGTATCCACAGTCTGTGTCGTCAGGCGATGCCTCATCATATGCCTCGTAACTTTCTTTGCTCATGCCATCCTCCTCTGAGAGTAAGATATGTTCGGCTAGTTTTCTCGCCTCCTGATAATCGGCGTAGGCACCGAGAACGTTCAGGTCTCGGACATTGCTCACTTCCTTTGCTCCATTATATACAAACGTGGTTTGTATGATATAATATAGAGGCATAGGAATTCGACCATCCTCATAATCCGTGGTCAATCGCATGTTATTGGCCGTCGTGTCAATACGGACCCGGAACGTGGTACCGTCTGAGGCTACTGCGAAAACAACGAGCCCCTGTCGGTTGGAGAGATTGCGACCTTCGAATACATCTTTATTGGTTTCGTACTGGGTGAAGAACTCCCTCTCGTATCCGGCATCAAAGAGACAGCTGTGGGCCGCTGCTTTGGCAGCCCGCAGCGATGTGTAGGTGCCCGGGATGCGGACCTTTTCAATGATGTTGTTCGGGTCTTTACTGATATGAGTTATTGATAATACAATATGATATAAATCAGGGGGGGCGCCGTCATTGCCTGTGGCCATCCTGGTGTGTTGGGTCGTAGAAGTCGGTGTCTTAGGGTCAGCCGATCGCAATAGTCATATCGGGTGTACCAGACTTTATATATGCCACAATAGATTATTAGATCTATGTGTACCCTCTATAGAGCGTTATATGATATCATGCTTAGGTCAGAAGAACACTGACGACCTCGAGGCATCTGTGCTACTGCAAGTAGAGCTCTGACTCGGCGTCGGTCATATGACATGCCACATGTTGGATATCCAAAACCCTAGGAAATCTTTCGGGGAAATGCCACTGGAAGCTCCTGATTTTCGGTATTGCCCAATACTATCTCCCAGACGGCTCCGCCTCGGGGAATAAATATGATTAGCATCATGAGTGACAAAATCTCGTGGCGTCCAAGTCAACTTCTTTGAGTGGCGGCTTGTATAACATGGAATGGCTTTATCCTTCCAGGATACATATGAGGTAACAGACTCCTCCTAGCTAGTGTATTCAATTTCTCGGAAGTACTTCCCCGTTCAAGTTATGATCTGTTTGTATTTCGTTAAGAAGCAGCTGTTTGCAAAAGCAGGGTCACCCGCAAGCATTATTTTTCTACCTTCCAAACCCCATCCCAAGGAAGTGCTTAAGAACTAGGTTGACATCGCAATGTACTTGATCACAATAGTCCTGATTAATTGAAGAAGATAAAGTGGAGGGTGCAGAGTGGAACTAAACCTCCTTTGAGGTCTTATCATCTTTCACGTAATCGTATATTTATACATTACGTAGAACGTTCCCAAATCGACCACGCGAGGAAGAGCGACATCCGTAGCTGGCGTATTGAGTAAAATCAATTTTCTCTCGGAGGCTAGCAAAGAGCCTGATTTCATTGTGTTACAGCCCAAACTACACATTGCCGGACTAAAGGTATATTCCGAAATAGGCCATGGCAGTCAGCGGAAGTGATATCCCGGGACAGAACAACACTCAGCATATAAAATAGGCTGCATTAACATAGACGAGACGGACCTGTATAATTGAGATAGTGAGAATTCAACGGCATTTATCTGCTACGAAGCGTGTACGATGTTTACGTCTTCTTTTCCACAAAGTTTGGACATTGTTACCAGCAGCGTCGCAGCTGCGAGAGACTTGGAACTGTTTGTTCAAAACAAGGCTTTCATCGATGGCATCTGGGTCAGGAAAGAGCAAACGTTCAGTGTATATGGTTCGTCCCCAAGGATTCTTTTACTTGACGATCGTCTCATCATTCACTAGAGCCATCGACGGCCCAGGTCTTTGGGTCTGTGGCAGACTGCGACTTGAGTGACGTCCAGTTAGCCATCGAAAGTGCATATGCAGCTCAGAAGAGTTACTACTCCTCAACTACGGCTGCGGAACGGGGAGGCCTATTGCGAAAATGGCACAACCTGATCATGGAGAACGTGGAGAACCGTAAGAACTTCCAGACTATTTTCAACTTGGTTTGTGATACCTGATAGCAATCTCCAGTTGCAACCATCCTGTGTCTAGAGAATGGGAAAACCATTCATGAATCGAGGGCTGAAATAGCCTATGCCGGGAGCTTTGTTGCTTGGTTTGCCGAGGAAGCGACACGTTCCTATGGCGATACCATCCCATCGTCGACCCCCAACACCATGGTTATGACTACAAAAGAGCCGGTGGGTGTCTGCGGGATCATTACTCCATGGAATTTTCCCGCAGCCATGATCTGTCGCAAGGTCGCCCCCGCTCTGGGCGCTGGATGTGCCGTAGTTATCAAGCCCCCAAGTGAGACTCCCTTCACTTGTCTCGCTCTCACAAAGTTAGCGTTGGATGCTGGCTTTCCGGGCCAGGTCATTCAAGTATGTCCGACCAAGAACAGGGAAGTAGCTTCAGAGCTGGCGAGACATCCGCTCGTTCGCAAAATCAGCTTCACCGGGTCTACCAGTGTCGGCAAAAGTCTCGCCAAATTGGCATCTGGAACGCTTAAAAAAGCCAGCCTCGAGCTGGGCGGCAACGCTCCATTTATTGTCTTTGACGATGCCGATGTCGATCTGGCGGTTGAAGGTGCCATGATGTCGAAATTCCGCTGCTCGGGTCAGACGTGCGTGTGGTGAGTTTGTCTCTTCCTTTTAGCATTATAAACCTAACAATCGGCTAGTGCCAACCGGATCTATGTTCAAAGAGGAATTTTGGAAGAGTTCACTCGGAAGCTAGTACAAAGGGTCTCTGAACTTCGCCTGGGGCCTGGGATCGAGAGCTCTTCCACACAAGGGCCGTTGATCAACCGACCTGCTGTGGACAAGGTCAAGAGTCATATTGAGGATGCGGTCTCGAAGGGCGCGCGTGTGGAGATCGGAGGCTCAGCCTCCGAAGGTGCTGGGTATTTCATGCAACCTACCGTCCTATCCGGTGTTACACGGGATATGGCAGTGGCTCGGGAAGAGACATTTGGGCCCTTGGCTCCGATCTTCCCCTTCGAAACCGAAGATGAGATTCAGAAACTTGCTAATGACACTGAATTTGGTCTTGCCGGATACTTCTATTCTCGCAACGTGGGACGCGTAATGCGCGTGGCACGAGAGCTTGAAGTTGGTATGTGTGGTGTCAATACGGGCAAGATCAGTGCAACTGAATCACCATTTGGGGGCATTAAGGAAAGTGGCTATGGCTTAGAGGGTAGTAAATATGGTATGGCTGAGTATCAGACTATTAAAACAATTACCCTGGGAAATATTCACTTGTAAAGTGAATCCAACTGCTTGTCGCAACTTACTGAGATAGCCTAGACTCTGGATGACACTTGTTAGGCATCACAGACGCTTCATTATACAATCCATTATCCATATATGATATAACCTTGAATTTCCTTATCGCTCCACATTTGATTCCCTTATTTTCGGCCACCTTTTCTTGATTCTTACATCCGGGCTCCCTGCCTCTAACACGCGATCATAACTCTGTGTCCGAGAAAACTGAAGTCTCAGGTGAGTCTTGGGAAAGTTAGGGCTCAGGGTACGGTATTGCAAACCCGAACATCGGAGGCCGAAAAATGGCTTCCGGGCTTTGATTGTTTCATTTTCGCCGGATGTCTGGGCATCACACGAGTGAAGGTAAATCAAGATAAATACCAACACTACAAGGATCAACGTCTACTGTTGATTTACCGTTTTCAGTCTTCACACAGTATGTCCAATATCACCCAGAACCAGGTAAACATGGAACTTCCGCAAGTTGTGGTTTTCACTCCTTGTGAATTCTGCTCTTTGGTTACGATCTAAGGACGTGGTACTATTTCCTGGACAAAGCAGGAAAATGGTAGACCAGTATATCCAATACCAGGCTTTACTTAGTCTTCCACAACTAAGTCACTGGTACATACGATCATAGAGTGTGGAGAACAGGGCTTCCCATCCACTCAGCTGTACTTAAGCCGTATATTATGTGTGGTTAGTCAGTATAATAGCCTTTGGCCCTTTAGAAATCTGCAATAATAGTAATTAGTAACTTAGCATAAGTACTGATCATTAGAATGAGTACTTTATATCTGATTATTACTAGCAGTAATTTCTACTTATCAGAGATAATATAGTTAATAATAGAGCTATCTATAATGATTTTTTATATCAAGATTAAAAAATACAGAACTCTGAGATATAGAGAAGCATAGTTTATATTTTTTTAAAGAAATCACTTCATATTTTATTTTTAATATATCTATTTTGTTTTATTTATAATAATATTATATATTAATATAATGACAAGAACTCTGATTCTCTTTTGTCCTATACTTCTTATATGGTAATTAACCTACCAAGGATCTTAAGCTCAGCGATTTACTGGCAGAAGGATAATGCGTAGCGGGTGTTGTTTCGGCTCTGGCCTCAAAGTTGGTTGGATTTGGACTTGGGGGTTTAAGATCATGTATCTCCAAACCGTACGTGATGAATATTACTGGGCAGGCTGATCGGAGAATATAAGTTGCGAAGAAATTAGAGAGAATAAAGCTATAATAAGGCTCTGAGAAGAGTTTCAGGAAAGGGATTAGAAAGACAAAGTCTATTAAACACGTAAATACTGGAATTGTATTCATTAAAGAAAGCTGGACGCTGGCGGTTTTAATACGGTTCCGGGAAAAATTCAACGGGAAGCTGACATCATCCATACAGTCTACGGGATTTGTAACTATGGGAAGGGTTACTGTTACGGGGGTCAGGATTTAGTGGCTGGGGGTCAAGGTGGTTCTGACCCCCAGAGAGGTCTGCCGCCTTGGTCACATAATAGAATCTGAAAGGGGGTCAGATTTTAGGAATCACATGGTAAAGCTCCGAGGAAATCAAAAAATTATCTTAATTCTATATAAAATCTGACCCCCTCGGAGATAGTTTCTCTGGCCCACCCTGACCCCTAGCCACTAAATCCTGACCCCCCCGGAGCTGTAAGCCCACTATGGGAAATCAGTTATTGCATAAACACCATACATCGTACGTAGACTGTGCGGGAAACTGCACCAGCCTACGTCTGCGATATCCCGTATTCTACCCGCAATAGCCCGTAGAGTGTAGGGACAACCTATATATAGCTGAATACAGGTCACATACTACTTCTATATAGCCTTACCATGCCGATTGAGCCCTCTTAGTCAGCATACAGCGTAACTATTAATACCCCTCAAACCAGACCAGGCTTTCTCTATGCTTCCACGGCGTTTTATCTATCATTTAGTTCTCTCGACATAGGAAAATCACAACGAAGACTAGTACAGTTTGAGGATGAAGGAGATTGCCGCAACACCTATGATGTCCGAACAAGACTTCTACCAACCCTCGGATGTGCCGTACTCTGAATCAGCTCAGAGCCATGGAGACGACGGGGTTCCTCACGACTCGGATGACGAGCCTATGGTCTACGTGACTCCCCGAGACTACGCGACTTCGGCGCGCCAGGAGCGTGACCGCCTCATCGCTGAAGGTGCCGATCCTAATTCTATTATCTTCCAAAGCGAAGTAAAGAACTATGTCCCACGACAAGATGGCGATTCCCCTACCGACTTTGCGAAGCGCTATGTCGAGACTATGAAGGCTATGATTGGTCGCGGCGTTTCTATTCTGAATGATCAGTGTACGGCTGATATGGTGCCATGTGGATTCGAAACCACAGATAGAAGGTTTTTCGATTTAGGCCCGGGATCAGGCGCGACGAAGCGGGAGTTTCGAGAATTTAGTCAGTGGTTCTCGGAGGTGTCAGAAAAAGGACAGATGTATGAAGTGCCGGAGAAGTGGTTGAAATTTGAGAAGCCCCATCCAAGGGAGATTTAAATTACCTCGGCATTAATCCAGCGAGGGATCGTCCCCAGTGATGACAAGTCTCAGGACTTCTCGTGCAACGATTCCTTTTCCGATACTCACGAATACTTGCTTTTGTATTGCGTAAATAACGATAGTGGGCAAGGAAGCTTTGAATGAAATAATGTTTGTAGTATAATCATCGATCAGTTACTAGATCTACTCTAAACCTGAAGAACTATTCTTCTTGCTCAAGTTGACAATCGTACAATAATGAGTCCCGACTGACCCTGACCTTTGATATCCTTACTGTCGGAGGTCAGCGTAAAGGCCTCGGTTGGGACTGCCAGTCGGCCATGGCAACACAGCGCTTGCTATGCTATTATTCCCTCGCTTGGGTCTTCCAAAGCCTGTGGGTTGCTCTGACGCCGAAACGAAGATTGTACTATGGATTCTACTATACTTCAAGTAGCATCTCAGCAGCTACGGGATGGTCCTCCGCATTCTTGTACCACGTCGCACCGAACGATTTAAGATTCTCCAGGTGGACGTCATACTTACAAGTGTCAGTAAACTGAAGAAATCAACTCCGGCTCTAAGGTCAAGTCCAACCGCGAACAAATCACTTACGTCTGTTGTGACTGGTAACTCGTTGTACCGGTCCCAAGCATCGCCCTCTTGGAACTCTAGAACCCACACCCCATCTCTTTCCCATGCAAACATAGTGGGGATAGCCGTGCTTGTGCAGGATTTGCTAGAGATCTCGTCCGATCGGGCCACGCTAGAATCTTCTACACAGTGATCTGTTAGCTAGAAGAGTCATATTTATCTGGTGTCCACGACCGAATATAGCTTAACCTACCTGCCGCACAATGTAGGCAGTCAAACCAAGCAGCTCCACCACCAAAGTAATTGGAAAGGATACCGCCACTTAGGCAAATCGATCTTGCAGGTCCAGCACAGGCATCTCTGGAGATACCACCGCACAAATTAGATGAAGAAGACTGGTAGAAGTTACCAATAGTCCCTGAATAGAGGATACTGAAGCCGATTGTACCTGCAGATCGCCGCGGGAAAAGGAACAGCAAGTGTTCTGGAATTCTTATGAGTCATGCGTACTTCAAGCACATATTATATCGTGTAACAGAGGTTTCTTACCACTTGGATATTATTGCAGGCCCAGATACCCTTTGTAGTATGTATAGTGGTAGCATAGCCATAGATATTGGTAGGATTGACAGTAGATACAGCAGCAGCAAGAATATATAAACCCAGTCGGAAAATCATCTTAATATCTGGAAATATTGTGTAAGTGATATCTGACATACATCATATATCGTAATATGGAGTTACTCAAATACTACTGTACCTATGTACCTCTATTTCACTAGTTATTAAGCTGGGGCGGATATACTACTCGTGAGAGCCGAGCCGCAATATTCAGCTGTAATGTATATACGGAGCTCCGAGCGATTGCGCCGTATGTGCATAATTAGTCAAATAGTCTTCCCCAATCAGTATTTCCAAGTGACTTCGCCGACCAACTCAGCCCATTCGATGGAACCATACAACATGTCTATGGGGGCGGCTGGCAGGGCTTGTGGGGACTAGCGTGGCCCAACGGCCCGGCTAGTGTCCCACGGGCTGCCGATCGGGCTTCTCCGACCACCTTATCCGACTTATCCGACAAGTTGATTACGAAGATCTATTATGAAGCTCAAACGCTGCTATAAAATATAGCGATGTAACGACGCTATGCAACCATCACTGTACAGTATAAATTAGTACTGGGGGAGTTTACGAGTCAGAACTGAAGATCAAATGTTTGTTCTATTTTAAACACTGATCAAAAACCACACTCTGAGAGGCCTGTCACTGCTATGTAACAGCGCTATATAGAATAAATTAATATTGGGTGACTTCACATGTCAGAATCAAGGATTAAGTGTTTGTCCTTTTTTTTTTAGTTAGGGGGGGTAGGGCGCGGCTATTTATGACTGTAGCGCTCTTCAACACCGTTTTTTAACAAGAGTATCTAACACTACTCTTTAAAAAATAAGATCCAGCGTGTGTATATAAAGCGGCGATGTAACACGAATATCTACAACGTCTATCGCGATGTTGATATCGGCCCGTCTACCTCGCCGCTTCTATCTTGTATCCAATGTCAGTCTACTATCGACGGGTGTCGAGGAAAACGTCTTTCGTCCTCAAAATCACTTTGGAATTCACGATTGGCCCCGGAGAATCTAATATCCCATCATTGTCCGAGCACCGCGAAGGATTTCACAAAGGAGACCAAATATATCTCCCTCTGTGCCAGCATCCTTGCGCTGGTGTCTGTCGCCTTGGCCTTAGGCAAGCAGCCATGCTACAACCACGCCGATCCCGACGGGTACGTTTCTTAGCCCCCTTTGCAGCCTCGTGATTGCGTTGACGACCGCCCAGTGGTTTACCCAACTACTGCTATTGCAATGACGGTACCTGCTGGGCAATATCAATCCATGCCCAGTGGGAGATCCGCTATCCTCTACTATCCAACAGTAGAGTATAGGGTAAAGACCGTTGATATTATATACATAACTCAGAAAAGTAGTCAATAGTATACTTTATTTATTACTATGCGTGTCTGCCCGTAACGGTCTTCCAGGCTTGAAACTAGAGGGGAGGATTGAGTAAGTAGAGAAGAGGCTTCCAGGACCTTTTCTTAACCCTGAAGTAGAATATAAACAATGTTACCTTATATTCTACTAACGCTGCTTAGAAAGAGGAAGAACAGTTCAAAATAAAAAAATTTGATAGATAGGGATAACGGGCTTATTTAAACAGTATAATTAGAGTTGCACGCGGGTAGGGTTTTTAATTCGCCTCCCCGCACCCGACCCAAAACCCGCTAGGTTTAGGCCTAGTATAGGAACTTTTAAAGCTCGATATCTCTACCAATTCTATATATATATAGAAATAATATTATATATATATATATATATATATATATGATCTAGATCTATATAGAAATCTAGAAAAAATCTAAAGAATCTAGATTTTTTAGTCACATAATGCCAAGAACAACCCGCGCGGGTCTTCTGGGTTCAGGCCACTCTAGTTAGGCTAGACAACTAAGCTAAAAAGACCAAAATATCGAACCTCTTGTTCGATACGCCTAACTACCACCAGCGTATCCCTCCTGTTGTATGTCCACATTCAAGTTTTTTTCTTTCTTGACGAGATGATCTTTGCCCAAGCTCTAGGGAATACTAGGATATTAGGAGATACATGTGACTTTCCTGTCTCCGTTCCTAGGAGCTTGGTTTCTTGATAGAGTTGATCTGGTCCTTGATTTACTGTTCTTCGATGTTCTGACCGCCTTGGGCAGTTCTTCCATTCTTATGTATGCAAATAGTTCAAGAATCAATACCATTACATTGAACAAGCCATCACTAGGGGCAGATTTTGATTCTAGAATCTGCGCCGAATTAGAAAAATCTACGCGGATTTTGCTTGGCATTATTTAATTAAAAAATCTAGATTTTCTAGAATTTTTCTCCATGTTTATATATATTTAGTTTATATATATAGAATTGACAAGAGATATACCAGTTACCAGTAGAGCTTTAAAAGTCTCTGTACTAGGCCTAAATAAATAATATATCTAATTACTATGTAGCACCTTACCTAAATAGATCTAGTAGCAGATTTTCTGGGGTTTTTTTTCAGGTCACGTTTACATAAATTGGCGCGGGTTTGGGTTGCTTATCAAAAACGCGCCCCAGAGTCGGGTTAGGGGCGGGGGACCCGAACCTGACCTGATATCAACTCTAAACCGGCCAACGTGTGAATCAGGCAACCGGGTTGGTCAACACGCCAGATTTCTACGACCTTATATTTGGAAGCTGTATGTACCTGCCACCCTAAAAGGTTTAGCTTGAACAAATGCAACGTTCCTCTCACCTCCATCGGGCTTGAGAAAAATATTCAATAAAGGTGCCATATCCGTGAAGGTGCACGTGCTTCTTAATGGTAATCGAGCCTCGTATTTTGACTACCAGAGTAGCGATAGACCAGCCCCCAAACCCACCCCAAGATACAAAGAAAAGGAGCAGACCATAGTGAGGAGTTATGGGGAATACTCGTCAAAGCTTGTTTATGGATTTAGCGCTTTGCACTTGGGATTCTCGTATTGGTAAACTTTGTTGTTCGTATTTGTTGTCGATCATTGGGGCTGGCCGTATGAATCTGAGCCATGCGCAGTGATGACAAGGTCCTTACAAAAAGACCTTGAATGCACAAAGACATCATTCGCAATAACATACAAAGTGTAGACTGATATACATGATGCCATGGAACTAACCGTTGGACAAGTCTCTGGTATAATTAACTTTGGCGTTGCCATTGGTAAAGGCTCACTTTTGACAATCTGCCAGACGACGTACTAACTGAACCGTGGTGAAGTCGGCATAACCCTCCCGCTAGGAATCGCTTACGTCCTTAGCTGGCAGCTCCCCGAGGAGAATAATGCCATTACCTGGTAGGAATCCTTCCTAAAGACTCTCGAAAGCGTTTCCCCGATGCTATGCTGAGAAGAAAGAAACCATAGGTCTGTGGGTACACGCGTCCTGCAAGCAACCGCTTGGCCCTCCCTCATAGGAGCAGATAGTACTGCGTCGAAGAAGGTCAGCTGGCTGGCGTTCTGTCTTGGCTGGGGGATTACTATCGGCCAAGTGCTCGTCAGTATTGCTGGTATCATCACCCCTCTGGGACTGCATGATCGAATCAAGCCGGCGGCCTCTACCTCGGTACCCTTTGTGTATGTGCCAGATAGGTCGCCGTACGGTCTTGGAACGCCACCTCGCCCCGACGAACCATTTTCCCGAGGTTGCGGAGGGTCTGGCTGGGTTGTTTGTCCTGGAACCAACGGGACCGATGCGTATTTCCTCGTCAACAAGACAGTCCATGACATCATCCCCAATAATGGGACCTATTCGGCCCGACTGCCCTACAACCTGACCCAGATCTTCTCAAGCGCGACCTCAGGGACAAATAATACCGTATCGGGACCCTTTGATATTCAATACCGACAGCTATTCCCAAGATCTATGGACCAAGTGGACAATGGCAGACCATATATAGTTGGGTCGTACCGGGTGATGGAGAGTCTCATATTACACAATAAGATCGAAGCGATTGAGGGACTGATCGTTGACAGTACAAGGGGTGGGGTGGGCTATCGCAACCATACCGCGCCGGCCAATCTTCCAACGGGAGGACGCTGGACGGAGGATATTACTTGGCTGCAGCCTCTGATAGATTGCGTGAACACCAATCTCAGCATCCGATTCACCCTCAACTACACCGACTACAATGGGAACAGAGTCGAATCCCACAATGTGCGCCTCAAAGACAAGGGCGGATTTTCCAATCTCCCCCTTAAGGGCCCTCCGGTCAACATGGAGGATATGCAGGCGAACCCTGACCTGCGTACTCGAGCAACGCAGCTCGCCTTTTTCCACAACGGCATGTTAATGTGGGCATTGGGACTAGCTAGTCCCAATATTAGCGCCCCTCGGAATATTACATCGGATACAGAATACCCTCTGGTTCTAAATGGGAGCCTCACTGGTGACCAACACAATGCGTACCGGCCAGACTCGATCCAGATCCCTGGGAGCGACGGGCTCTTCATAAATTCCGACTTCAATAGCTCGAATAGTTTGTGGAGCTTCCAAACCACAGCCCTGGCATGTCGTGGGTTGGTTTCCCAGTACACCAGCGACGCTCTGGATAATTCCACGGTAGGTATTGATTGTGGTCTCATCCAGACCGCGCCGCGACGGTTGGACGGTACCGATCCACGAATCTATGATGCAGGCTCGGAGTGGGAGCAGGACATATACATGTGCGCGAGTGCTGTCCAGGCATCGATTAAAACCGTGGAGTTTACTTTTAATGGGAGCTCGACTCTGGACGACCTTACTGTGTCCAGCGTGGAAGACAAGGTGTACGAAACTCAGGATGCGCAGCCTTTATGGGCGATTGAGATCACCGGACAGCCAGCGTCAGTAACTGCTCCTTTGTGGGGCCTTATCAGCGAGCAATACGCATCTTCCGAGAACCTGATTACCGTACGTTCGGAGAGGCTCCTCCTTCCACCTGCGTACCCAGACAGCGCTAGCGTGGTCAACGCAAAGGACAGTATGGCTGCGAGTTATGCTCCCATGGCAGCCCAGCATGTAGCCCTCGGTGAGAGCTATCTGGGGCAAATCACCTCTAGGTGGACTACAGATCTGCCCATTGCAGACTACACCGGAAAGTCCAACTTTGCGCTGTCCCGACGCTGGCAGCAGCTGTCCACTGATGGTGAACAGGGCGCTGCTTTGATTTTAAAGCTGATCTTTACCGACATCCTAGCAACGGCGACTATCGGCTCGCAGACCCCTATCGGTCTGAGCGGCAGCGACACCGGTAGTCTGGGAGGTACAGTGCCTTCTGGTGACAAGAAGGTCCGCATCGAGCCTTTCCAACGAAAGATCGAGTACAATCTGCCATATGCCGTACCAGCGTTCCTCACGTTAGCCTTGTGGGTCGTGGTGCTAGTTGCCTTCCTCGTTGCATTGATCGTTTCCCGCTTCTCCTTCTCGAAGCTGCGACAGCAGCTAAACTTGAGCTCCATTGGCCGACTGTACACAAACTTGGTGTATCCCGATGTTTGCGAGATTGATGCGAAGACTGACACGTGGATTGAACAAGCCGGCGGGCTCAAGTTTCGACTGGATCGTAAGGGTATAAGCGATGCCGAAGACCCGTCAGCTGAATCCCAACTGATGGAAGAGCAAAATGAATCATCAGATAGCGTCAGTGTGGAGTAACTTGAGCGTGTGCGAATTTGCGCCAGTTCACTTCCTAGACGAGTTTTCCCATTTTATTATTTCCTCATTTTTCATTTTTGAGATTCACGTATTAGTATCTGCATGCGTTGGGATGCTATAAACTGGTTTCTGATTCTTTAAATAGCTGGACCTTTCAACACATATAGCCCAAAGTAACTCATATTTACATATACTGGCTTGTATGAATGTAAGTTTTGGGCTGAGCTGGATTTCGGAGAGAATTAACCATCGGACCTATAAAGTTCACCACAGTATTCTGACATACAATCAATCTAATCACCCGGGTTGAAACCTCACTTGTATAAATTGTAAGAATGGACAATTAAAAACGTCACTTCACCGTAGCGTCTTTTTCTACATTACTCTGATCTATGTCATGACAACCTCGAAGGTCAGTTTTATAAGGAAATATTCCACCATTGATGAAAGTCACAACATTAATATAACCCGAAAGGCCAATCCATCACACTCTGAACAAACCCTTGGTTTATTTTATTAAAAAGCTAACTCACTATGACGATTCATTAACTCCTTATTAAACAGCCAGCATAAATACCCAGGAGTGATACGCTTCTATTAGCTAGTAATTCTACGTCTAACACATTGCCCTCGAATGATTCTAATCGCTGCAATGCAGCGCTAATCCTTCCCCAGGCCTCTTCACATCCAGTTCCAAAGTATTCCGGAAAATGAATGCCGGGCCATGGTCCAGTGTTGTGGGGGTGGAGTGGCCAGCAAATTTACCCCGGATCTGCCTCGATATACCCCAGAACGGGTGAGAGATACACTCGCCCCAATCGCGAGCTACACACCACTAACCCTATATAAAGGCGCTTCACTGACATCGTCCTGGCCCGTATGGGTATCCTTCGGCTCTCCATTTCAAGGCCTCAACAACAAAGCATGTTTCTCCAGCATACTCAAGGAAAGTCTCTTCATCTCAGCATTACCGCAGCGTGTGGTGCTGGATTTCTACTATTCGGTTACGATCAAGGTGTTTTCGGCGGTCTCCTGGATAACGATCATTTTTTACGAACGTTTGGGTACCCCAGCACTACTATTCAAGGCCAAATTGTGGCCACCTATGACATTGGTTGCATCATAGGCACCCTGGTGTCTATGTTCTTCGGAGACAAACTAGGACGAAGACGATGCATCCTGACGGGCTGTTGCATTTTAATAGTCGGTGCCATCTTGCAGACAGCCGCATACTCCATGGCTCCGATGATCGTTGGCCGTGTGGTGGCCGGGATAGGCAATGGCATGAACACCATCGCGTGTCCAGTTCTGCAGTCAGAGACTGCGAGAGCGAACGATCGCGGAAAGCTTATTGTCTTGCAGTTAGTATTGAATATCTTCGGGATTGTGATCAGTAATGTGAGTCCTTCGTACTATTATCCCTGGACCATGAACGCATGTTGATTCTACAGTGGATGAACTTTGGTTTCACTTACGTCCCCAACTCCTCTGTCAGTTGGCGATTTCCTCTAGCCTTTCAATGCTTCTTTGCGCTCGTTACTCTCTCACTCGTTGCTGTCGCTCCCGAATCGCCCCGTTGGCTGGTTATGAAGCATCGCGCCAACGAGGCTCAGAACATTCTGTCTCGACTACTAGGCAAACCGTACGACGACCCCATGGTGGTCGAGGAAATACAGCGGCTAGTGACTATGGTTCACCATGAAACAGAATTACAGCAGCAAAGTCTGCTGAAGGAGATATTTTCTCGGAATAGCAAGCAACAAACTCTACGCCGGATGCTCCTTGGGGGTGGCACTGCTTTCTTCCAGCAGGTTGGAGGCACGAATGTAATTGCATATTATCTCCCTATCGTCTTAACGCGGTCCGTTGGCCTAAGTACCCGCCTCGCGCTGATCCTGTCGGCCTGTGACTCCATGTCCTTGATGTTCTGGGGCGCTGTCGCCGTCCTTCTCATCGACCGCATGGGTAGGAAGAAATTATTGTTAATGGGGGTCACGGCCAGCAGCATCTGCTTCGCACTCGTTGCGGTCGGGTTAAGATACGGTGGACCTGACAACACGTCTATGTCCGTTCTGGCGGTAGTGTTTATCTTCATGTATTATGTCTTCTACGGCATGTCCCTGCTGTCCATTCCGTTCATGTATCCGGCGGAAATCAACTCGCAGAGAATGCGCAACATCGGTACCTCCTTTGCCACCACCGTTAACTGGCTCTTTGTCTATGTTGTGGTGGTGGCTACTCCAACCGGAATCGAAACGATCGGTTGGAAATACTATATGCTCTATGCCATATTCAACTTCCTCTTCATCCCCATCATCTGGTGTTTCTATGTGGAAACCGCCAATCTCTCGCTGGAACAGGTTGATCGGCTGTTCGAGATCAAGCATGATGCAGGAAAAGACATGAGTTGGTCCGACGCGTACAACATTGCCAGGCTGGAGACTCCGGAGAGTCTGGGACTGTCTGCGAAGGATGCTGCTGAATCCGAGCATTGTGAGGTTGTGGCTTAATTGGCGCTTGTGACGACTGTTGTTATTGGGTAGTAGCAATTTTAGGACACGCATGGAATTCTATAGCATGAATTATTTAAGATTTGTCGGCTTGATGTCGAACGAGGTTCACTGCCTATCGTGCGCTACAGAGATAGCGACGCGTATGAGTATAAATCTCCCTCCCCTGAACCAAACGCCAGAAACCCAAAAAGAAATTCGGGAAACGAATGGCGAGAGACATATATTCGTCTATCCTGCTTATAAATCTGGACAATGGATCCCTGGATCTACAACGTGTAGTTTTTCGAATGTAACTGTGCGCGGCTTCGAACAACCATCGCAATATTTATCGGATTTATGAGGCGAAATGGGCTATTGCCTACGCTTATTATGGTGTAAGCCTTTCTGGGAGGGAGCAATCTCTGGGCAGACCACCGAAATTACTATTGTTTAATGGATTTTCCAGTTCTTGAATTTGCTAAGTTATCGGTGACATATCGTTCTACAATGTGGAGACTGTTGCAATCGAACCTAAGACAGGAGCATATACTGTGTAAGGGGGGATATTCTGCAGCGCCATAAAGATATTATGTCTACGCTGCTACTGACCGGTGCAGGTGGAATTTGAGTGCAAAGGTACAAGCGCGAATGTGATGCCAATGGAGGGTCCTCTAGGTATAACACATTGGAAATCAAGGAAATGAGATAAAGATCAAAGTTGTAAGATACTCCTAAAGAGACATTCAACTCGCATTTATAAACACAGATGGTTTAAAGCTTCCGTCCGGCATGAAGGCCACCTGTGATCAATAGTTCTCCGCCAGTCATGTATGCGCTAGCGCTGCTGAGGAGGTACAGCGCAGCGCCCTTGAGATCTGTTCGATCGCCGATGCGTCTCATTGGAGGCTCGGAAGAGAAAATATTAGCAAGAGATGGTCTCGTCTTGGCGAGCACAGCGGTCAAATCCGTCCTTGTATAGCTTTCACAAAACATCAGACAAACTGGACCACATTCCTTCTGTTGTGTGTACTTACCCTGGCGAGATGACATTGACCCGGATTCCTGAGTCGGCGAGCTCGACAGCCAGCTCCTTTGCTAGTGACACCACAGCACCCTTGCTGGAGCAATAGTCGCTGAGAAACTGTGCGATACTAGCCTGATGAGCAGCAACCGATCCAATCATCACAATGGACCCATTTGCAGTGTCGATGCTGCTGGGCGAGCTCTGGATCATGTGCTTTGCCGCCAGCTGCGCCGTAAAATATGTACCGAGGACATTGATATCAAAGCAACGCCGCACACTGTCCGGCTTCCTCGACAGGAATGGCTCGTCCGGGCATATGCCGGCTGCAGTAATACTAGTATGGCATTTATCAGACTCGGAAGAACATTGATTACCACAGATCATTTAACCTCACCAGCCGTCAAGACGTCCGAAATCTCTTAAAATCTCGTCAAATGTATTGCTCAAGCGGTCGAAGTCTGTCACGTCGGATCTAGGGTATTGGAAATTTAGCGACAGATATCCTAACCAGTGAGCGATGTATTAATTGTCTTACTGGTACATTCCCAGCTGGGCGCACTGTTTCTCGAGGATATGAAAGTCTTTGTGTGGTTCAGCCTTTGCGTCAATAAGAGCAACTTTTGCTCCCGCTTCGGCACATGCGAAAGCCAGCGCCAGGCCGATTCCTTGTGCTCCTCCGGTGATTGCGATCACCCTGTTGCTAAGAGAAAACAGATCCAGGACATTATTGGTGAGGTACGTGTCGCTGGCCTTTTCGTACTGTTTATGCAATGGGCTGCTCTGCATTTCTGGGGCTTGTTGCAGAGTTGGAGACATATGATCGACCTTGAGCTTGATTATATAATGATGTATAGTTACCTTGACCTCACTACACTTGCAGAACAACGGATGATATGAAATACGTCTTGAGATTGCAACTCGGGAACAACCCTAGGCTTTTGTATTTCCCACGAGAACTAAATAAGTTGACGACCACGACGGAAACTAAACGGGGCGCAGAGGGCAGAGGTGGGAGAACACAAAGACATACAATAGTGACATTCGGAGTCCCCGCTTTTTCAGGACTGGTCATATCAGTGAGGAATCATGAAGCTCCATGTACATGTCTCCTCACGCAATATGAATCCCGAGCCTTCGAAGTGCGTCTTGGCTTGAGTGAGGGGTTGAGCCTCGCGCTACCGGACTGTTATATGCCCCATGAGTTTTACGAAAGCAAAAGTCAGCGGGTATAATAGGGCAGATGTGTGAAACACCTGAAGAGTCACGAGGCAATGGTAGCGGCGATGCGGTGATGTGATGTAGAAAAGTGGTAGATAAATCCATCCTCTAGCGAGAAACCTTCAGTAGGCAAAACCATGACGGGCGTCACCTGACATGGAGAAGGCATTTTGGGAATAAAACAGTAATCTTCTCTCCACTAGGAAATCCCATCGATTGGCTTTTGGGGCTGTTATCCTGGCCTCCCCAGTGAGTTGAAATTTACATTTACCCTGCGGAAAAATATTTCCGGACGAGCCTTGGCAGCTTTTTGTCCAATTTAGATCGCCATGGTGCAGGCTGCTCATGTCAACACATATCATATCTGTTTTTTCATGCCATGCTAGGCACAATGGGAAAAGAATTCCGTTATGTTGGAGAAGTGAAGGGTTCACGTCAGAAAGTTCTCATATTGATTTGTAATTCAAACTAGCATCAACCTCAGGTTCGGCGTCTGAGTAGAGCATAAAGCATCTTGTCCATCTTTCGTCGCTCCAGGAAGAACCCCTATTCTCGTAACCTTGCAGCGAACCGCACGACAACTCAGGAGTTTACGCCTTTCCATAACTTTCCTTGCAGTCGACGCATACCTGAAACCCCGGCCTCCGTAGACAATGGCTCCTCATCATACCGGCGAAGACGTCATCAAGGGAAAGCCACAGCACGTTAACAGAGCGGCTGGCGGCGTGTCTTACTTTACCCCAGCTCAACTTCCACCCGCTGGGACTGCTCTTGTTACCAAAGACACCAAGAACGTACCCAAGCTCTTTAGACCACTGAGGATCCGCGGTCTTACGCTCAACAATCGCATTACTGTAGCGCCGATGTGCCAGTACTCCGCCGAAGATGGGCATTTTACTATGTGGCACATTACTCACATGGGTGGCATCGTGCAGCGTGGCCCAGGTATCTCCTGCGTTGAAGCAACTGCTGTGTCACCGGAGGGCCGGATCTCGCCGGAGGATGTTGGGCTTTGGAAGGACAGCCAAATCGAGGGCTTGCGCACAGTAGTTGACTTTGCTCATAGCCAGGGCCAAAAGATGATGATCCAGCTGGGTCATGCGGGTAGGAAGGCAAGCACTGTTACACCGTGGCTCTCCTCTGGAGCCATAGCTGGAAAGGAGCTCAATGGATGGCCAGACGAATGTTGGGCTCCCAGCGCTCTTGCATGGGACGAGAACCATGCTATTCCGAGGGCTATGACCATACAGCAGATCCAAGATTTCAAAGTCGCATTCGCTGATGCTGTCAAACGTGCGCTGAAGGCCGGCTTTGACGCGATTGAAATTCATGGGGTGTGTCCGTTGCTCAACCACATTACAAACGTTTCTAATACGTCGATAGGCCCACGGCTACCTTATTTCCGAATTTCTGTCCCCCGCGACAAACCACCGTACGGATGCATATGGTGGCAGTTTCGAAAATCGCACGCGGCTCGCTATTGAGCTCGTCGAGGAAACTCGTGCGATCATCCCGGACGACATGCCGCTCTTCTTCCGTATTTCTGCTACTGACTGGCTGGAGGAAGCATCAGAGACAGAGATACCTGAGTCCTGGACTGCTGACGATACAGTCAAGTTCGCAGGTATCCTGGCGCAGAAGGGCGTCGATGTGCTGGATGTGAGCACCGGTGGCAACCATCCCTTGCAGAAACCGCATTCCGGCCCAGCATATCAGGCACCGTTCGCCGTGAAGGTGAAACAAGCTGTTGGGGACAAGCTTAAAATTAGCACTGTTGGCATGATCGACAACGCTCACCTTGCCAATGATCTGCTAGAGAAAGAGGGTCTGGACCTGATAACAGTCGGCCGAGGTTTCCAAAAGAACCCGGGTCTTGTCTTTGCTTGGGCTGATCAGCTTGGCATTGAGGTTCGGATGCCAAATCAGGTAAGTCTAGATGTCTTAGCATTCGGATCTGAATACGGATTAATATTCTTTAGATTGCCTGGGGCTTTGGTGGTCGTGGGAAGAAGGACGGTGTCATGCCGGTCTATGAGATTCCCAACCTGATAGAGTAAGGAGCGGTTTTCGGGAAGCAAACATAATTATGGGAGATGTAATGCAATTCCTCAAGGAACCCTTCTATATACATTTCCACTTCCTATAGATAGATAGCGTTAATGCCCTCGTTCATGTGACTTACCCTTCGAAGTAACAGGTTCTTTCTTTTTCAACTTGAAAACTAGGCCATCATTCGAAGGGATGACTGGTAGGTGGTCCCCTGACACTACAGGTCTTGCAACTTCAGTAAAGAATTGCATATTGAGTCTTATAATTATTAAAGGGGAATAGCGAAACGTATTGCTTATCTGATGTGCTACTTCGTAGGCCTTAATTGCTCCCACGTCTATTTGGGACGCATGTTCTGTCGGGAATCAAGATCTCCCAAGCTACCATTCTATTCAAAATGCCAATCTCACGTTTTGTTTATAGTGTCCCTTCTTTAACACGGAGATATCTCAAGTAGGCGCGGGATAAACTTGCATTTTGTCTTCAGCCGTTGCAGGAGAATGTATGTTCGTGAATTTCCATTCTGCATTGTCCCTCCTCTAGATGCCGACAGAAAAGGAAAATATATTCAGGATTTCACTTAGCGCAGGATTCTTTCCAGTGATCAGGCAACCACTGAATCTGAGATGGTTTCCAGAGATCAGACGGAATATCCATCCACATCAGGGTCGAATATATATTTGTCGATGCCTAGCTCCGTATATTGATCGCCACCAATTAGGTCCACTAAACTGCTTGTTGCCTTGTTCTGAACATAAATCGCGACGACATCATAGAGGGCCTTGAAAATGCGTAGCTGCCTAATGCAGCTGGAGTACCGAGGCGATCGTGTCAGCGAGTGCAGACCATGAATTAGTCGTTGTAGGCGCCCCAAGTCTGACAGGTCGGAGCTCTCCACGACGTTGCCGAGTAGAATTAAGAAAGGCATAAACGGGGCGAGTAGAAGAATCTCATTGACCCACACGTCATAACTGGGAGGCCAGGATGGCATATCGGCGATCATGGAAATGCAGGCTTCGCTATCTTCGAGGGCTGCTCTGGCTGCGGTGATGCACTCCGGACAAGAAGCCATGCTGAAGGGTTTCTCCGACGAAGTACCTCTATAGATCGATGCCAGGGTAGAATAATCGATCGCCCGGGTGGCATGTATGATAAATTTAGACAGCCCAGCATGTATCCCATGGCTAGTCCATTGGTTTGGTCGTTTCTGGGGAGTGACGTTAGCCAGAGCACGCCGGAGGAAGTGACGGACAACTTGCATATAATTCAAGCCTCGCAGCTATCACCTGTTCTAGCTCAGAAGCGAGGGCATTGGCACAAGAGACACGATCGGAAAATGGCTGCTCTAGAGCATTCGGGCTGTATAAATTGTCATACACTCTGCCGTGGAGGTTGGCTACGTCGATCCAGTCGGGCATCCGGTTGTAAACCAGAGAGGTCATCTTGCAGTCCATGAGCAGTCGCGGCACCGTGATATCCTGGTCTCGAATGGTGGAGGATCTACCGAGACGCAAGGACAGAGACTTCTCAAGGACGTATATCGCCCAGAACAGGCGGACCTTCCCCTGTACTCCTTCTGTGGGCTCGGCTGCCATAATGTGGCTGCTATGTAACCCAAGGGCCTGGCTCATAAGTGAGGCCCTTGTAATACATGTCCATGCCGTGGACACTTTTCCACAATAAAGGCAGTAAAGGGCCTGCTGGCTTTAGTAATTGGGAATCACGATCATTCGCGAGGGAGAAAACGTAAAAGCTGAGAGGGTGACGTACAGCCATGTACATGGCACGTATAGAGTCCGTATGCGTATCGATATGGAAGGAAAGGTTGGATATAATTGTCTCCAGGCAGCCCCTGCAAGTCAGCGCCTGCATCTCGTAATCCCGCCGGACGTCCTCGTCCCCGGCACTATTCGAACACTCAGTAAACAGCCAGGACAGAACATAGTGGACAATAATCAGTTCCATATCTGTGATCGGACCAGGCGAGCAGGCCTTGATGACGTATTGGGTGAATTCGGCCAGAGATCCAAACTCAAAAGGCCAATAAAGCTGACTCGGTGGACTCTCTGCAGGGGGTCTTAGAAAACACAGCTGATTTGTAAGAATGAGGCGCACGCACCTTGAGCGATCCTTAGGCATGCCATGATTTTTTCCAAGGGAGGGATAGGCAGATCCCGGAGACTGAGGCCGGAAGAAAGTTCATTCCGAAACGGACGTGAGCCTGCCAGTGTCTCATTCTGCTGCTTTTGCACGCTGACCGTCATCCACAAGGCATCCAGGGCCGCAGTCATTTCTGTGCTAACGTTACCATATGGGATGTCCGACACAGTGGCCTGGAGTGCTCCAGTTATGACCATGACTTGGGCAAACAATGATGGTTCAATAGCCCTCGCCTGACTTGGGGGCTGGATGTGCGTTTGAGTACTGCTGGACTGAAGTGATGAATGTAATGAGACATTCAAATTAACGGGATTCCTGAGACAAGGAGTACCGGGGCGCTCATCAGCTAGCCGCTTTACTACCTCGCCAAGTTGGTCAATCTTGATCGAAATGTCCTCAAGTCTCCTTTCACTGCAAACCACCATTGGGTGATTAGTAACGAAACAAATGGAATTGAGGGTTCAAACGCACTAGACGCTCGATATAAGGACCCTTTGCCGCTTTTCTCTTGCTTTACGACCGAATGTGTAGGTGCAGCGTGCTGTGGTCTTGACACATTGATGGCAAGGGTTAACACGATCACACTTGATCTGTTGCAGAACAAGAGAGTCAATGGAGAGCCGGAGAGAAGCAGGTCGAGGAATGATCTCTAATCCACCAGTAGCCAGGGAACAGAGTTCTCTCACCTTGCGTTGACGACAACGATCACACTGTCGACAACATTAGCATCCATTCTGGGATAAGGCTTGAATATAGGAAATGCCTCCGCACAGCTACTTTCTCGGTTGCTGCAACCTCATGCTCATCCAAACCCTTCCGCTGTAGCTCTTGGCCAGGTGTTCCATAGACGGGGCTGCATGACATTCCATGAGCGGGGACCATGGGGACTGCTAAGCTAATTTGTCCACTACGGATAAAAAAAAAAGAACATGAAAGTCATCAAGGAGAGCACGCAGTTTCGGGCTGTTGTTGTTGTCCGAACAATGATATCGGAAAGAAGACGGATTTGTAGCGGCCGCGAAATCTGCGCAACCCGAACGGACTCGCGGAGTGCCAAGAGTGCGGACACCGGAAAGTGGAGACGGTCACTGGCTATAAATCTATTGATTTATCCGTTTCCTCAGTCTTTGTGCTTTCCACAACGCTTTGGATGAAACACTTAACCATGAAGTACCGCGGCGTGGTTTACGATGTCGGCCTGAATTTCAACGGGGAAGGATTCTCTGTCGAACCGTTTGATCCTGCTCTAGTACAATATGACATGCGAACTATCGCCCGCGATATGCACGCCAATGCGGTGCGCATCGAGGGAGAGGATATTGATCGGTTGGAAACTGCTGCACGGGCAGCTCATTCCATGGGACTGAAGGTGTTCTTTAATCCGTGGAAGATGAATGAGGGTATTGAGGGAACGCGCGCCTACTTTGAAGAGGCCGCGAAGATAGCCGAAAAGTTGCGGAACGAAGGCATTGATATGGTCTTCGTCGCTGGTTGTGAATACACCATTTTTAGCAAAGGGGTATTTCCTGGCGAGTCATTCATGGAGCGTGCCATGTTCCTCGGCTCTCAGTTCCCTGACGGCCACATGTCGAGAGATATCCCGGAGGCTTTACGGGAGAAATCTGTGATATTGAATCAAGTATTGCAGTCATTCGTTGAGGTCGTTCGGGCCCAGTTTAAGGGATCAATCACATACTCTGCTGGCTCCTGGGAAGTAGTGAACTGGGACATTTTTGACATCATTGGTATAGACTACTATCGGCGAGGCGAGACCGCGGAGGAATATGTTTCCGGTCTCGACCGGTATAGACTTGACAAACCTCTTGCTGTTCTGGAAGTCGGCTGCTGCGCCTATAAGGGGGCCGCGAAGAGAGGAGATGGTGGCTTTATACTTCTTAAAGGCACGAACCCGGACGGAAGCGGCGTGTTCGAAGACGACATTGTCCCGACGCGGAGCGAGGAGGAACAAGCCGACTATGTAGGGACACAGCTCAGTCTTCTCGCCAACGCGAATGTGGACGCAGCCTTCGTCTATGTGTTTTCATTTCCGGCTATGCGGGCCGGAGAAGGAGCCAGAGACTTTGACATGATGTGCTTCTCGCTAGTCAAATACTTTCCCGAGCACGACCCGAGATCTAAGGCTATGCCTCCATGGACACCCAAGGAATCTTTCCACCGCGTTGCCGACTTCTTCCGCTCTTTGCAGCGACAGGATCTCGCTACATCGGAGTCGAACTGACATATCGACGCGATGTCGGTGAAGGCATCTAGAGATGGACCTTTTGATGTGTGCCACGAAATTATTACTAGGTTGTACAGGCAGTGTGAATAGTGAAATGCAACGTTCTTTTATTCTTTTTATCGTTGGTTTTCACACACACACAGTCTAGTTAGGGAGTTTTTCCAATCCCGATAGTAGTGTTTCTAGTATGGCTGAATTGGCTAGCCATCAAGTCGTTAAATAATATTTCTAGCATGAAAGATAAAGTAGTAAAACATAATTTACACTGTGGCGATGGCGTCGGGGAGAGTTGGCTCATTTTCCCCCAGGGGCAAATATTCAGTTTCGGGTATAGCAGAGAGGCAGCTGTGAGGTTGTTGGCTGACGTCGATAGATTATGGGATGGTAATCTTATTTCTGGGTAATGACTATAAGAAATCGCTCATCGACCAAATATTAATGTATCCCCGCCGGTCAGCCACGATGACAGGCGCCTGAATATGCCATCCTATGGCATCCGTAGAGGCTCGTGGCCTCAAGCCGGGAAACGTATTCCGAGAACCACTTTAACCGCGGGTTTTCCCTCTGTTGTACCGGATAGATACACATTTCTCCTTGGCTTTTCTATAGTAGCTTGCTCTGGGCCATCATCCATACAGCATCTCAGAAAGGTTCTCACTGTAAATTGCCATGTTCAGGTTCTTTTGGAAAGCTCAAGATCTCGGTTCCGCATGTCTGTTATCCACATTGTCCTTTTCCAGATCAAGAAGAATGCGGCGCATCAAGCTGTGCAAAACATGCGTTCAGTCCCATAGATTGAATGTCACTGTGGTCAACTGGGTTGATGCAACAACTAATAAGATTCTATGCGTGCAAGCAAATGCTCGGTTTGAAAGACCACAGCCTCCATTCTTCGACAGGACCGCTAATTAACACACTGATGGAATGGACAGAAGGTATCTACTTGGCGAAAGGTCGCATTCTGCACTTATCCCCTTCCGAGCGTTACTTCAGCCAGCCACTCATCGGATCTAATATAAGTCCGCGAATATTCAGTACAAGAATACCTTCCTACTGCGGGGTTATACACAGAGAGAGATGCATTATACCCGAATAAAGCTCCCATTTGGGGCTCCCCTGGGGTCGTCAACGGCCATTTCGTATAGTACTAATCAGCTCCCATCAATAATTGTGTCATAAATATGCTTTATGTATACTTCGGATACAGTGAGGGGTCTGAAATAGCGGCGATTGTAGTAGACTGCTTCTCCACTTTTCCAGGCCTTATACTACCAATGATACGGTTGACCTAATACTCTAAACGTAGACTAATAAGCAGAAAGAGTGTAGTATACTGGACGTGCCAATAAAGATTGTGTCATAACGTGGAAGTCGACAGTGGAAATATATACTGAGAAGGCATCCAGATCTAAGTTAGGTAGGCATCCATTGTACATCAGTAAGAGGTGATGTTCAAAAATAGTGATTTTCAGGAAGTGTATGTCATAAGCTTAATATCCAACGGATCTAGGATAGAGTTAAATCGCAGCAGTAGTTGGACTATAAAGTATAGACTATTCTATACTATGGAGGCATTTTGAACTGAAGGTATCAGAGGCCCTATCCCCCGGCCCTGGATCACGTGAGCAGCATTCGAGGGAGCTAGCCAAGCCTCTACATACCCCCCTATACGCTAGCTAGGATTCCAGCTAATAGATATCTTGACGCGTTGACGCGTTCCCTCGAATAAAAGAAGTCTAGCGATATCGGCGATTTCACCTCATCTCTTCGAGCGGAGGATCAGGCGTAGAGATAAGGGAAATCCGGCGATTTAAGAGATTTTGATACTGCATGGTTTTATAAATACTTCTCAAGCTTAGCTCCTGTGCTACGGAATCTCCGAGAAGCCCTTCGGCTCTAGTGGTGTTAGAATTACTGCAGCTTTGAACTCCAACAGGCCTAGATACATATATATGTGCATTTCTTGATGGTTATTCCTGAGTCCCAGCATATGTCGCCTGTACCGTTCGAACTAATAAAGATGATCCCGGTGCCCCCGTTTTCTAATTTTTGATTTTTATTTTTTTTTTCCTTCCCTAATTCATGTATGCTCAATCCTTTGCTCTTGGGTGTGCATGGACACGGTGAAAGGGAAATTAAAACATTTCATCTGAAAACTTCCCTGGAGATCATCGCTTAGTACGTACATATACGTGGATCAATACTCTGTAGATCTTAATCTAGACGATCGAATGGACGGAGTAGTTGGTGAGTTATACGAGAATGCTAAATATGTAATAGGACCACGCTTGCCATAGCGGGTCTGTGGAGTTCCACTTACGATCTGGAAGCGAACTGCTCCACAGGGATCAACACTATCCTTTCCTTTTCTCAGTACGAGTCATGAATGGGGTCTTGGCGCATCGTTGAAATCCAATCCTTGTAATGGAAACTATTTCCAGAAAACTAATGCTCAAAGCTCTCGACCAGCAAATGCTCACCTCGAACTTTGGGGCTGAAGTTATATTAAGAGAGCCTATGAAGAATGAATCTGAAGGGCCCACCCTGCGCCGTAAGTATCCCCATATCTATCAATAGTGCCGTGGGGCGCTTGGAGTCACCTACTCCGAGCAGTCCATACTAAGGTTCTCCCTCTTTTGCCGAGTATATATATACATATAGGGGTCATGGCGGCCACTGTTGGACCTTCCGTTCTTTGATATACTGCTTCTCCCCTTCCTGTTGGTCGCTTCAATATTCCTGATACTATATTCCAGGATATCTTTCTCATTTAAAATCATTTGCACCTCAGTTAAAATTTTCCGATAATATCCAACATGAAGATCCAGACGCTATGTTCGCTTGCCGCTGTGGGCCTTACCTTTGCTACACCGATTCATAACCGACAGGTTCCCAAGGGAATAGAATGCATAGGCAATGCGGCAAGGGAGAGGCTTAGTGTTGTTTTTGACCGCATAAATGGAGACGCATCCAAAACCTCTGATCTGCTTAACCAATATTCTGGCGACATTATTGCCATGGTCGAAAATGCGGAGAATAATGTACCAACTCCATCTGACTGGCAGGAGCTTTTGGGTAAAATGGTAAGTAACAGCGAAGTAGGTATTCTGGGCAGACTTATTTCTAATCTGTTTGTATACAGGGTCCCGAATTTCTACAATTCGCACAGACCACGACAAAGGACCAACTGGACATTCTCAAGTCGGCTACCTCGGGATTCGTTGCCGATGCGCAACGCTGTTTGACGTCACTGGAGGCATGATGCTTACTAGCTCTTACCTGGCAGATACATGATGTATGAAGCACAATATGTATCTCGGATGAAGGTCAGGAAAGTCGTTGAAGCTATTCTGTACCTGCTTTGGCTCCACCTCTGTCTTTATATCCATACACCGCAAGCCTTAATGTATTGGCACTCTGAATATCACCCCATAGAATATATAACATTTTGTACCATATTAGTTCGCCGAATGGACAGTTTAGCAAATCGTGAGTCTATGGGACATTCTACACTGCGCGCTGCTGTAGCGAGATTGATGTTGTAAATTCCAAGTCAAACACAAGGTGACAAATTGCCAGGCTCCAGAATGGCTTATCCCATCCACATGGTTGTATCCGAACAGTGAGGCCCCTTTGTAGACACTGCTCGGTCTAAAATTGCAAAGGCTACAATAGCGAGTCAGCCAATCATTAAATCCTGGCGGACAGGAGAGAAAAAAGGCTCGTAGACTTAGTGAACAAGGAATTTCGTGCGACGTGCGCCATCTTAAGAACGGTCCGCTGTCTCCTAGCAAAATATCGGTCAAAATCTCTTTGAGATCCTCATTTTTTAACACGACTTTACTATGCTTCACGGATGTGCTAACAAGTGAATCTCCAAATCCTCTGTCTCTGACTGTTGCGGTGGAATATGCGGTTGCAATAGCAGTTGGAAAGGCATGTATCTCCCAGTATGTCTCCATAGGAAACGGGGACTTTTCTCTCGAAAACACTTTGGATTATGGAATGTCGAACCTGTCTCCATCTAAATCCTAACATTAAACAGGATTTGAGAAATCGGGCCCAGGTCACTACCGCTGCGATAGTAATTAAAGCCACACATACAGTAGATCGCTGGTATGGCTCTCGGACAGTCCTCTTTTAGTTAAATAGTATTCCCCGCGAACCTCTACCACCCCTCCTATCGCATTGAACAATTTTAACGTATTCAATCACCATGCTGCCCTTATGTAAAATATAGTCCGGGCCACAGAAGTGAACGATGCCTTTATATTAACTATCTAATGCGGAAACAGCGTCCTCAGCACTTCCAAGACCCCACATTCGCTGAGTATCTATCGAGAGAATATACTACGACACGAAATCCAACTTCTCAGGTTCTCTGGTGGAACATATATGATATGTATATATCCAAGGTGCATCCACTGACATAGCATTTCGTACAGAAATGGTTATTCTTGGGACAACTAATCCTGACGCTTGGGATCTGAATATGAACCACCCGGAGACTTGTGAAAAATTCAGAAACCGGCTGGACCTATTCTCCAACCGTACCATTTCCTTCGCCGTTTCTCACGACTCACCATATTTTGCCAGGTAGCGCTTTTCGTCCTGGTAACACTGGCGAATAAGTAAAGTAGCCCTATATATGAAGTAGATACAAGGGGATCAGATGCGACCATCAACAGCCAATGCACGTGGCAAATGATTACAGGACGTCTGCAAGTATTTGTGGTGGCGCACCATACCCCAGTAGCTTAATAAAGCCTTAAAAGAGTATGAATGATAGACAGTTCGCACTTGAAGAAAAGAAGGTGAAGCACTATCAGTTGGTGCCACCTGTTACGGTTGCGATCTAGATCGACCTGCCCACTGTGGCGAGGTTGGTTTGTATTTAGGACCTAAACTACTTCTTCTCACTCACTCTTAGTTCTAACATGTCATTTGTCGTTAGAGTGAATCCATTTGGATAGACGAGTAGTATCAATGGCTTGGATTCTTGAAGCAAGGCTGACAAGTCGGAGGTTTTAAGCTGCCCATTATTCTAGTAACACCGGTGAACCCATAAGCAAGACGACGGACCACTTTGAAAAGTAGACAAGTACCAGACATATCAGACTGAAGCATCAGATCTTTATTTCGTTGCAGTTGAGCCACCGGCTCACAACTCTAAAAAGACTTTGTAAGCTAGGAGGAGCAGCTAGGGGCTGCAGATCCTACGGATTTAGTGGTAAGGAAGGAGTTCCTATTGCTGTTGCTGATAAAGAAGTATTTTCAAAATCCCGTAAGTTGGACTAGGCTTCTTCCTTGTATATACTGCATGGGGGCTTTCAGTAGCTATTTCCAAAGTCAACTAAGCACATATTACACGCGTTAAATGGATGACTTTGGTCTGATTGTCGTGGTACAACGTTGGGCGGATGACTTGGTTATACCTCAAACTACATTTCCCCGGTAGCATATCCTTCTGTCTTTGCTGGAACGCCTACTATTAGTTTCCTTGCATTTATGTTACTATGGCTGATGATTATTTGAAGTTTGAGACAACACCATGAGTTCTTGTAGGCATGCATGACAAGAAGCAAGGGATATATATCTTCAATTACATTGTTGATGCCATCCACCGCGTCCAAGATGAATATGTATCGTACATACATGTAGCTTTTACAAAGGGGGAAAAACCGCCATGAATAGTTTTACGTATCAGGCGGTCCCGATAAATCTTATTTACAATTGACATCTAACGGTAAAGCGATCGATCGGACGACCCCCTAGGGCACAGTCTTCTTATGGTATCTTTTTTTTTTTTTCTTTGCATCGTCTTGTCCATTATTGCTTGCATGAGCGGGAAGATGGAAGGCTTCTCTCAAGTCCCGCTTATCTGCATGCAGATATACTGCATCCCCAGTTGGGTTGCGCTGGAGGTCTTCTTGTAGGCATAAACACTTGTCGACGTAGAGTTGCATGTGTTGACAACCAGGTTTTCATGCTCTGTCCAATTGTTGCTTGCACGCGCTATAAGCTGGCGCCAGCGAGGTTGGCCTACATGCCTCATCCCAGTGACTAAACATTATTGTGGCCAATATGGCGCGATGCCCCAAGAGAGGCAAGATCAAAGTCAGCGCCGTACAGGTATTCAGACTGAACCATAAAATGGATTCCAGGCGCAATTCAATGATATCAATTGTAATTCGTATAGTATGTACGTCCATTCTCCCTCAGCTATATACTATTCAGTGACAAAGTGACTCTAAATTTACATAAGAAGTCTATTATAAGTGCTTTAAATATACCTATAGAGTATAGAGAATGCATGTAACTCAATCACAATCACACCAGCCCATCGAAACAAGCACCTTATTCTGCATCACCCTTCTTTTGCTCCATCATCTCTCTATCTACCTCCTCATTCTCAGTCTGCCTCTCATCCAAATGCACATTCTTCAAAAAGAACATAATAACCACCATAGGCGCAAGGGCCGAAATAGCAGCAATAGCCAACAACCGCTGCGACTCGCGATAACTCCGATCAATGGCCATCCTCACAGGCTCACCCACGGGATACTTCTTCGCCACAACAATCGACCCAAAGATCGACTTAGCCTGACTCTTCGCCTCATCGGGTAGATACTCGCTCAACTTGCGGGGCAGATTACTCCGCCAAATAGCACCCGCAACACTAGTCCCAATGGCACCGCCGATGCTCATCGATGCGAAGAAAACAGCCGTCACGACTGATACTTCCTGTCTGGAGACGACGGCCTGGACTGAGACCTGGGCAGCGGTTTGGTAAAAGCCGCGGCCAATGCCGATCAGCGATTTGGCAGTTACGAAGGCTGCTTCGTTTCCCGTTTTGCCGTCGCCCATGTCCACTAGATATAGGAGGATACCCATACCTAGGATGCAGAGGGGTACGCCGACTAGGACCCAGATTTGGGAGCGTTTCGTATATTTCATGAAGAAGGCGGCGAAGATGCCGGAGACTTGGAACGCGACGCGGAGAGAGTTACTGTGTTTGGCTTCTGGTTAGTTGTGTGGTCTTCGAACATGTTCTTGTGGGGAGTGGGCACGTACTCAATTCTTGTCGCGTTGCCTGCGTTGAAGTGTCCGGCAACTTGGAGGTAGCTGGTGAAGAAGACTGAGAAGACTGAGTAGTGGAAGAAGTCGAGAGCACCGAGGAGACATGCTGCTGCTACGGTGCGCTGTTTAATCATGCGATAAGGCACGAACGGCTTTTTCGCGAACCGGGCATCCCAGATGGCAAATGAAATAAGGAACACGACTCCGAGGACGAGCATAGCGATGAAGTTACCTTTATGCCATGCGTTGCTGTTATTGGCACCTGTCAGGGCGATGGGGACTAACAATAGAGACAATCCGAGCAACAGCAGGACACCACCCGGTAGGTCCAGCTCCACCCAAAGTAGACGATATGCACGCTGATACCAAGTGTCGGTTTCCTTCCAGCCCATGACCTTAGCAATGGGAACTTTGATTGGTGCGCGCCGCTGATACACTAGCATTGTTGAAATTAGAGGCACTGCGCAGACTGGCAATATGATGGCCCACATGCCCCAGCCCCATCGCCAGGTCGAATGGTCTAGCATGCGTTGTGCGACAATCGTGCCCAAGTATAAGGTCGGGACGGTGGTGAGAGAATCGGGGAGTGTAGACCAGATACCACGGTTGATTAAGTTGGTAACGTCGGCGACAAAAACTTGCTGCGTAAGCGCGTAGCCTGTCGATCCGATTGCGTCGAAGATACCAGCGACCTATTTCATGAATTAGCACGTAGCTAGGTTAAAGAACGGTGGTTTTGTATCTGTAGATACCATATACTGCGCGATATTTTCGCAAGCGGCGTAAATCACGTAGCCCAGAGTAGAGGCTGTGATGGCGAGGATAAACATCTCTGCTCTGCCGAAGACCTATTAAACGCAGAACAGTTAGTCCCAGCCGTCTCAGCTCTCGAAATCTTGATATACTTACATCTCCAAGTTTCGCAATGATAGGGTAGGAGGCAATACGGGTGATATTCATGACTACGCGAGCAGCACTCATTGCAGAGTGTTGCTTAAAGGCGCTAGTGGTGTACGGGACATAGACCTGCGTGGAATAATCGCCAAAGTGGATTGCGAGTGTTGCGATGAACAAACTGACCCAATATTCTAGTCAGTAACGACAGGTTAATCCCATAGTACTATCTGTCTCCCACATACCCGACAAAGGCCGCATGTAAACCCTTCTTCGTCCATCCTTTTCGCAAGATTTCTGCTTTCTGCACACCTGCCTGCAGGTTTTGTGTATCAGGTTGCTTTTCTACGTCGTCGGCCAAGGTTGACTGTTCGACTATTTGGTTGCCGGATTTGTCCAGCTTAGAAGCATCTGACATTGTATGCGACACACGAGGAGAGATTGAATCATCTACCTCCTTGGGAGCGTCTGCAACTCGCTCCATTGCTCAGACCTCGGTAGAAACCAGGTTAGGTTAGAGTGCAACCAGTGAACGGGGTGCAACAAAACGAAAACAGAATTTAAAAAAACAAACAAGTCGGAATAATCAGACAAGATAAACTTCACATGGCGCGTGCGAAGACTTGTTTTAGTAGTCTATATAGCAAGGATTTTGGTAAATTTTGTCGAGGATGATACCCCACTTAGACCTCGTGTTGCAGAGTATATCAAGCAGATAGGGCTGCGTTGTGAGTCGTCCCATTCAGATCGCATTCGGAAACATTCGACGAAGTTGGACCAAAAAGGAAATATCTGGGTCTCCTCCAGGATCTAATCTGATCCGGGACTGATAAGCGAGTCATGGTCGCAGTTTCGAACAGCCTAAGAACCAGTCAAAGCGGAGGTCCTCCGGGTATTGAGCCATAGTCAAAAGGTTTTCAGTTTTGGAACAGACCCATAATGACAATGGCTTTAACCAATCCCACAGCTTTTAAGTCAAACTAGTCACAGTCACGCTTCTTCTGGCGAAAAGATTCGGATCAGATAATCAATGCCAAGAGCCGCCGCGTGGAATGTGGCGGCTTGCTGCCTTGGAGGGCAGGCGATTATTGGGTAGATGGTCGTAATAGTGGGCTCGGAGAAACAGACAAAGGCCAAGGAATTCAAGCTTGCGTGGTCCAATTTATTTTACGGAATTCCTGGCTCCGAAATTCACGTTAAAATAACGACTGGCTAACAGAGTCTGCACATCTTAACGGTCATCTGCCGAGCTATTTCCGACGCCTGATCCTTAACTACGGGACAGCAACATTTTCGGTACTCTACTCTACATCACCATGCGTAAAGAGTGGACATTTACTCCCTCCGATTGCGGCTCTGGCCGTAACATGGCCGCGTGGAAGGTCTCAACCGGCACACAAGCTACATACTTGGTTGAGGTCGCCTGGCCACTCACCTGGCGCGAAACAAATGTATCGGCGGTCGCGAATGTAATGTAAGTCGGATATCAAGTGGAGCCTGCTTTCGTTAGCGGCGCTAATGTACGTGCTTGCAGATTCGCTGTGGATGGCAATGCTATGTTTCTCACGGCAACAGATGTCGCTCGGCGGCAGGCGTCACTTAACCCTAACAAACCTGGGACCATCATTGTTGGGCTCGGGTATCCTTTGGAAGATTCTGTCTATGCTCCTCAACGCGCTTTAGATCTCACTCCACCATGTGATCACTATACTCCGCCTGAGGGTTCCGACGGCAAACCTCGACCGGAACCGTACGGTGGTGCAGATCGGTTCCTTTCTTTCATCAACAATATCGTGCGTCCCTTCATGGCCTCATCTGTCTTCCCTAATGTTAAATTTGCTCGGACGGCCTTGTTTGGCCATTCTTACGGGGGACTATTTACATTGAACACTCTTTTCACGCAACCGACATCTTTTGATACATATATAGCAGCGAGCCCATCAATATGGTGGAATGAGAGATTTATTCTCACCAAAGTACCACAGTTCCTACAAAGACCAGAGATGAGTACGCGACCGACAGTACGGCTGTCATACGGTTCCCGAGAGCAGTTTCCTGTACGCCGCAGGCATGAATCACTGGAAAAGTACGAACGACGAGTGGGATCGGCGGCAAAGCGTCGTATGGTCGATAACTGTAATGATCTGTATTTGCAGCTTATTGCTAGCCAACATTTGAGTGCTGTGGAGAAGAGGGAATATCTGGATGAGGACCATGGAAGTGTCATTAGCCCCGCCTTGAGTGGAGGAATTCTGTATTTTCTGGACCTGGAAGACGAGGACAGGTAGTTATAATTATGTGAGACACTATTTACCAAATTCTCCGTGCCAATGGAGCAATGCGTGGAAACACAGCAGATGCCTTTTGGGTGACATCCCAGTAGATATACATCATGTGAGCTACTTGCCCTATACCCACCTTTCACCCATCAATGGAGAGTCATACAACTGTCTATTCTTCACGGCAATGAGCCTTTCCCCAATTCCCTTCATGGTATGCTTCTGGTGCTTCCCACTTCCTGTCCTGGGGAAGTCGTCGGCAACGCCAGGTTCTCCGATCCAAAATATGTGCACTGGTGCTTTGTGCCATGCTAAGGTTTCTCTCACCCAGCTCTGTACCTCCTCGTCCGATGGCCTCTCAGCATTAGATGTACCTTTCAGAAAGCATCCTACAACTTCCCCATACTTTGCGTCAGGTAAACCTAACACACTTGCTTCACTGATGGTTGGATGTGAGGCGAGCCGACCCTCAACTTCTAAGGGGGAAATATTTTCCCCACCTTATCCACCCTGTCAATTATGTTGATCCGGTTGAGATTAATATTCTATGCTCACCTCTGACAATAATATCCTTAATCCTCCCGGTGATATGACAACACCCACTCGCATCTATGATGGCTTCGTCCCCCGTCCGCATCCAGATCTTCCCATCTTTATCCTGTGTCATCACCTCCAATGTCTTCTCTTCCTCTCCAAAATATCCCTTTTGCAGTGTGAATCCACTTATATAAAGCTCCCCCTTTTCCATGGGGCGAGCAATCTGGCCGCTTTCATTCAGGATTTTGGCGCAGACATGCGGCATCACACACCCTACCATACCTGTTGATCCCTCTAACCCGTTGACGGAGCCCATAAATGTAACACCTGTTTCCATCATCCCATATATGACAAAAACCTCCTTTGTCTTCATTATTGCACGGATGTTCGTTGTTAATGCGGGCGTGATAGCAGAGCCACCCACCACAGCCGCCCGCAGGGAACTGTCGATTTGTCCCTTTGCCATAGCCTCTAATTCTGCCAGAAACATGGTGGGTACACCAATCAAGACAGTAGGAGCCTGCCTCTGTATAGCCTCGAGGACTGCATGTGCATCGAAGTGATCCGAAGGGAGAACAGCCGGGCTACCATGCAGTAAGGGTGCAAAAATCCCTACTATAAGACCAAAGCCATGAAATATTGGAGTAGGAGAGCAGAGGATATCCTTCGGGGTCAGGTTTAACTGATCGGCCACTGTAGAGGCACTTCCGATGAGGTTTCTAACTTCAAATCAGAGCATGTTCAACATATGGCTAGAATTTGTGCATACGTAGCTGTTAACATTCCTGCTTTTGGAGTCCCGGTGGTACCTATGGACTGGTTAACTGGGTAGACTTGAGGGGGGTATGAAAGAGCTGACCAGAGCTAAACTCGAGATGAATCACGTCATCGGGCATGACAGCTTTCTCTGCCAATTGGAGCAAAAATGTTCCATCGACTTCAGGGTGCACTACACCTTCTTTGTAGTCCGCGAAGAGGGCCTCATACGTATGTAGGCCGTCAGCATATCCATCATAGTCGTTCTGCCCAATCGTAAGAACCCCATGTAGCTCTGGGAGTGCGCCTGAAGATACAGCATTCTTCATCATTTCCACATGAGCAGAGAGGTCTCGACGACCGATACGAGATGCGATGAACAGAAGTTTGCATGCTTTCTTTTTCGTCAACTCGGTCGTTGGTTAGGTGTATATATTCATCGCTCAATTTACTTACAGGTTTTGTGGGCGGCCCTTTTCAGCTCATCTGGGGTGTATGTGCTATGTAGGGACACAACAGGACATCCGATGCGTGCCCCTCCCATAAGCACTTCGATATGTTGGCACGAATTGCCAGCCATGATGCCGACAAAGTCGCCGTGTGCAAAGCCCATCCCCAATAAAGCTTTTGCCACATGCTTACTTCGTTCCGCAAGTTCACCGTAAGAGAGGTTTATTCCCTGCCATGTTGACAGTATTGCAGGCTTCTTGCCGTAGGTAGCTGCTTGCTTATCGATCCATTGCGCGAAGGTTTCTCGATATATCGGTGGCTCTGTGGGCCCACTCACGAACGCCTGTTGAATACCATTTGTTTCCATATTATCATGAGTAATCTAAGACAATGCCAGACCTCGTGTTACAGGTGTAATTCCTCTCCGATCATTAAATAGGTTGTTGTCACCGTCATATGCCAAGAGCCGAGGTATACGTTAGTTCTGCGGCTTGACCGACCATGGGTCAATTACTCCCAATCAGGTTTATATCTTGATTCCTATTATCGCCGTCAAGATTTGCTTGTCAACCCCACAGCCACGACAGGAACATCAAGGGAGATTATCATGTGTTGTATCACACACCCTATATTCTCTCTACCGCAACCGGAAAAGGAACACACCATCTTTACGATCTTGGATAATTCGAGCCCTGGCAGCTCCTCTTGCCCTTACGATATCCTGCGCTATAGGTCCAAACCTGTTCTCCTCTCGCTTTCATCATGTAAATATATTCAGTTGATCGACCGAGCCGCCGTAGTAAATGGACAGCGCTCGTTTCCCACTTCCACCGCTTTTAATCGGATACTCGACTCGACTTTGATAATGGCTCAGTCTCCTATTGTCTCTATAGTGGGCACTGGACTCCAGTATCCGCCGCACAAGCTTGGACCGGAGTTTGTACCTAAATTAATCTCCAACTGCTACAAAGAGAATACCGCGTGAGTGTGCCCTACCCTGCTCACTACCTGTGCTAACCTGCATACTCATATCAGGCTACTGAAGATAATTGAGATAAATGAGAGAACAGAAATTGAGAACCGCTATAGTGTCCTACCGGCACACCATCCCCTCTGGTTTCAGGATAATATTTTGACGAACACAGAGTGTGATGATCTCTTCAAAGAGTATGGTATCCCCTTAGCACAGGACGCGGCAAAGCAAGCCATCGAGGACTGGGGCGGCAATCCGATGGACATAACCCATGTAGTTGCTATGACCTGTACAAGTACATCTAGCCCTGGATTCGACTGCACACTTTGTCAGAGGCTAGGGCTCTCCAAGCACGTTCGCCGGACCTTGCTGAGTGGGGTCACCTGCGCCGGCAGCGTAGCGGCCCTTCGTACAGCATATGACCTTCTGCGTGGCGCGACACAAGAAGGCACGCCAGTTCGTGCTCTTGTGATTGCCGCCGAGACTATGACTGTTTATATTAGAGCATGGCTGGAAACTATCGCAAAGGAATCGACCGCGAACCTTGGCCCCACTCTATTCGGAGACGGCGCCTCCGCACTTGTACTGAGTAATGGCATGGGGATCAAAACAGGTGAAAGAGAGCCCATATGGAACATACGCGGCGCTCAATCAACACTAGTGGATAGACCAGGCTGTGTTGGCATCCGGTGGATTCCCACAGGTGAGGACCACGCATATAAATCGTATACATAGGCGCTGATGTACGTCAGGACTTATGCCAATAATCTCCAAGGACGTTCCGAGGATCATCAAGTCATCCTTGCCATCCTCATTTGGGCACCTCATCACTAACTCTTCCTCCCTTCGCTTGGAAGAGTCCAACTTTGATCCCACTACATATGACTGGGCTTTGCATCCGGGTGGTCGTGCGATCCTAACTGGTGCTCAGCATGCTTTAGGGCTCTCATCTGATGATCACCTGCGGATGAGCTACCAGTGTTACAGTAGTGCAGGCAATACCAGCTCGGCGACTGTTCTTAGTATCTTGCATCGGTTAGCACGGGGATATCGAGAGGGGCTACCAGGTCGCTCCAAGGTGATCGGCGCGGCCTTTGGTGCTGATGTAACCATCGAGATGATAGTCCTGACGAAGCCTTCATGTGGACTAGTTCATTGATCTATAGATTTGTGCTTCATAACCGGCCTACTTCGTTTGTGTCAGGGGATAAGGATATGTTTTGCAAGTAGTAGCATTCAATATGTCTCTCAAATCGTATATTTCCTTTTGACAATCGGAAGATACGTCCGTCACTATATCATGTGTTTGGTACAGAACCATAATCCGTGAGTGACCCGGTTCCTAAACTGTGTATTGACCAGTAGGCTGAACACCCAAATAACTTACAAAATGTATACGTTGGGGAGATCCACTCCTCAGTGGGTAGTTATATTTGCAACAGTGTTATGCTCAATTATATATATTCATTGAGACTGGCAGATCTCAGGTATATATAGCCATTTATTCGAGGTGGTATACCATCTCCTTTGACTTTCTAGGCAGGTTACTCCATGTAACCTAGCAAAGGTCTTAAATTCAGAATGGTGATCCTCTTCTCTAAGCCTAAGGGTTGTTGATGCTGTTAAGAATAGCCTATTTATACGTTGGTCTAAGAATAGGTGACTCAGCAGCATAGTTGTGCCCGTGGTGACAATGACTAAACCCGAAAGGGATACCGACTCTTCACATGACCGAGCTAACCTCATTAGCTTGCATTAGGATCTCCACAACGACATGCAGTCATCAATCTTGGCAATTTCCTTATACCCTGCACTTGTCTGGAATTTACAATGCCAACCCTTTGTCTTCTATGCAATCCCGGTAGCTCGCTACTGAATCGAGTCCAGAACAATGAGTATAACGGATATCTTTTCGGTTGACATTGCTCTTCGAACCGGGCACAATAACACCCATGAGTCATATCTTTACTCTCATTTGACAGGAGATAAGATCCAAGGCGTAGTCACTGTTCGTTCGCATTGTGACATTCGCGTGGATGGGATCGAAATATCGTTTATAGGTATGCCGTAAGGGAGCATAGCTACTTCGACGTATCTAACAATGGTAATAGGAGAGGAACGTACAAGACTACAAACTGGAAAGGCCTACCGTCAATTCCAGGATCTCAAATACTTAATTGATGACTCATGTTTTCCACCTGGGAAACTGTTCAAGGAACGTCACAAATATCATTTTGAATTCACTTTCGAGGTGCCAGACCATCTATCGCCGGATGTCTGCAATCATAGAATTGCCAGCCCAGCCATTCGACACGCTCACCTGCGGCCTCCCCCAAGCTTCGGTGATCCCTCTGTATCTGGCCTCGGAGGCAAGTTAAAGGATGACTATGCACCGCCGGCATGCAAAATCCTGTATACCATCCAAGCTGCTTTGTTTCGCAATATCCCTGTAATAGATAAGCGGGATATTCTCCTAGTACACAAGATCAAACTACGAGTCAAACCGGCAGTCGACGAATGGCCGCCTTTAGACCTGTTGAATGGCGCGAATGACTATTGTTTAGAAGCCGAACGCGCAGTCCTCGATAGTCGCTCAAAGGAAGAGTACGGTCAGTTGACTGTGACATTGGAGCCACCAAAAAGCTTTCGCCTTCCTTTACGAGATCCTCACAGTTTGATCAGCAGCACGGTCAATCTCTTCCTGCACTACCGAGTCACGGGGGATCAGCCGGACTTGCCACAGCTCCAGTCCTTTCGGGGACAACTCGTTGGTACTACTTTCTACACCACATCTTACTATGAAGACGCACCCACCAAGAAAAAAGATTTCTTTGGCAGACCGAAGAATTACTCCGAAACACAATTTCCGCCTTTCTCATACTCTATAGCATTCTTAGACTGGGTACCCGCTGAAGACAATTGCTATGTAGCAACCCTGCTAGTGCCCATCACATTGCCGCGGCTCAACTTCATCCCGTCCTTCCATACCTGCCTTACTTCTCGTGTGTACGCCTTGGATTTGCGACTGGTGGTACCCGGCGCTGCTCCATTTTACCTCAAAGCACCTGTGCACATTTACGCCCAGCGAGACCCATCCGCGTTGCCATCATACATCGCGACAGTGGGATTCGATTCCTGAAGTAATTTAATGGTTCCGATCCATGGATTGGAACGTATATAATGACTTGACGTCCGTTACGAGATTCAACCTCATGTCAGCGTGTATTTCAGCCGCACAAAGCAGCCAGAAGAGATCTTGGCAATGCGCTTTGACCGTCGTCTTCAACTCGACCAGTTCAACACTATATATAACTAATTTCCGCTATCGACTTACACATTTTAATCAACCTATGAACATACATATGAACATTGCGAATCAATATATTACGTGATTCTACTTCATTCATTCAATCCTATCGTTAATGTACGCTTCAAATAAGAAACATTTCCAGAGTCATAAGCCATACAAACATCAAGTATTTCACATTACATCACGAGGACTCGTGACCAGTTCTTTGGTCAAGCACAGAAGCCCTCTCAACTCCCGGACTTCCGCTTGTCCGTCCACAAATAATACGCGTGATCACATCCCGATTGAACCATAGTAGCCAAACCGCCATCGTAGTCAGCGTCAATGGAATAGTGACAAGCCAATATAACCAGAAATTATCCGACAAGCTCCACATCATGGTCCCCGACTCGTTGGTATCGAAGTTAAAGAAGTTCATCCCGAAGATACCCTATCTTGATAAGCACCTAACTCCATCTTGCTCATGATGTAGATCACTTACCGACACAAATGTCCCCGGTAAATAAACCAGACTAACAATAGCAACCGTCTTCATCATCGTATTATCCACCAAGGCGCTCTTGGCCATCTGCACTGAGGCTTCGTTGTTTCGTTGGGAGACGATGTTGAATGCCTTTACTCACGGAATTAGCACAACCCATGGAGGCTCTGTATGATAAACTCACCAAGTTGATCTCATTCTGAAGTCGCTCACTGAGAGAGATACACCGAAGCTTTGTCGCTCTAATCCCTTTCGCAGTGAGGTACAACTGTTGATGAACGTCTTTGGCATGCCAGGGTACTCTGTCCGCGAGACGAGGATGCTGCTCATCCAACACCGATTGTTCATACATTATACTCTCCACGGTGTCCGCAGCAACGTCAAGGATCTCCTTGTTATGACTGATATGCCTCGCCATATCGTGAAGGAGAGTGAATTGTGGTTGAAAGCTTCCGAGTTGCTTTTGGTACTGGAACATACCAATCTAAGTAACTAAGCTCTAGAGCCAAAGATAGGAATACTCACAGCCTCAACTTCCCATACCACACCGCGAAGGTCCCAAATAGCCTGATCATATACATTCATGGTTTCTCTCGCAAAGGCAGCGTGCCAGGAGTAGGGATCGCTTGTTTTAACAGACGACATGGACGCGCGTAGCGGGGACTTGATCTGATCTGGACAGTTGATGAACATGACAAGTTGAGTTGATGCTGAGAAATTATGTCGGACGAATACTGCGAGTTGTGTCCAGTGATCATAGACCATGAATGAGCTGGGCATTTTCCAGATTCGCTTTACTTTGAAACAGCTCCAGGAGTCTATCTATTTATTATTATCCGATCAACTGCAGTATCATGCATTTAGACTATGATGGAAAGAAACTTACCATGCACAAGTATCTTTCCCTTCTCATCTCTATGATATTCGCAACCGAAAGTACCATTGAGGTTCTTTGCTACGACTGGCCAGAACGCTGATGGGAAATAATTGCGGTGTTGTCGAGTTGTCCAGGTTTCTAGGGCTTTGGTGGTTGTGAATCTGCGTTGTCAGATGTTGCTCGTATTTTTGAGACAAGTCATACTTACAGTATACCATGGGGGATATTGTTTCCAGTCTATGAAATGTGTTATTCGTGCCCTTCACTGAGTCGCTGTATGCACTCTCTTACGTCAAGCTCGCGATCCAAAGTCGACATACGGTTGTGGTATTTTCCAGCTGCTGCAAAATATCAGCAAACATTCTGACTATTCCGGTGAAATATACTCACACTCATGGGCCTCTAAAACTTCCACTACCCCCCGATCTAAATCCCTCTCATTCGTGAACGTCCAATCATCAAGTGGCTTAAACGAGAGATCCTCATTCTGCGACATGACAGTAACCTGATGAAGACTTTTCGGAAGCATTGCACGGTTCTCTCGAACCAGCGACTCGAAGAACATATATAATTTCAAAATGAAGTACTGAGGAAAGTCAAACAAGAAAAAAGTCAAAACGCGAGTCAGGAAACTTTAAAATGTCTCTCTGGCACGAGGCTAAAGCTGTCAGTTTCTGCAGACCCCACAAAAAGACGGGTTGTACCATGCCTATTCTATTTGAATAAGCACTAAGCTTCGGGTGAAGTGAAATCCGAGTCAATCAGATATTCGTCTGCGCCCGTTGAGGGTCCACCTGAGGAGGGTTATATGGTGCCACGTGCGGTGGAGGTACTAGTTACTAGTTCTATTAAGCAAGAATCACCATAGTCTACTAGATCAGTTTGAGTAAGAGAGTATATCTTCCACTAATACAAGTACTGATTGTTTTCCGTTAAGTTTCGGTTGTTATTTTGCACCTTTGCCTGAGAATCAAACAGGGGCAGAAACCGCTATTCTTGAAGAGGTCCTGAATAGTATCAAAGACATATCGACCATGAAGGAGCCATAGCTTATAAGCATACCCGCAGCCTACTTATGCGTGGTTATCCTTTCTTAGGAGGCGGTGGAGTACGTAGCATAGACGGCCAATATCTAACAGGACCTTAGGTCGAATATAATATCGAATCTGAGCCACAAACAAGTAATAGAATAGGGAACTGTACACCTACTCTAATATGGCCATGGTATAAGTATATATTATTAATACAGAACATATAGCCTTCTTTTTCTCGGCCCTGTGCATTGAATATAAACCAGAAGCTCAAGTCTTCAAGTTAGATTCCGCGGGTCTGCTCCGTATGTTAGACAACCGATGACTGTGTATCTGAATCCTAGCCGCATAGCAGCTTTCAAAGATAATATAAGCAAACAAATGAAATCACTACTACACCTTTGGGGCTAAAGTTTGGTGGTCAAAGCGCCAGGCAGTGTTTGGTGGGGTAGAGAACAAAGTAATCTCAGTATCTCATAACCTTCTTGGGATGTTGTAACATTTGTAACAAGTATCATGATACAGTAACACATGCTGGCTATGTTAGGCTCCAATATAGAGAGCATGACTAGAGAGGCTACGCAATTACTAGTAAACACCCGATGAAAAGTGACCGTAATGCCAAGACAGCTAGTCGATGTACATTCATAATTGGCCTTGAGCCTGGCTTTTAAATACAGTGGTTTGTAATACCCCCGCTCCTTGTTCTATATAATTTTGATGCAGAATCAAAGTCTTGGAACACACCATTCAAGGTTACTACTCAGGAGTCAGGGTGGCTATTGAAATATCCAATGTTGAATTAGTTTATGTGGTATAACTAGCAGAGATCCAGCTTAACGAATGTGTATATATAGTGGGAGGTGAGTATATGTATAGGGAAGTATGGGAGTAATGAATATTCTTAGTGTGTACTTTTGGTAATGACAAGGCTGAGGGTTGGGTTGTAAATTGCTGCTAATCATATTTCCCCTCTTGCCGCCCCAGCCACCGTGATATTTGAGGACAAGGCTGACTTTGGGGTGGTGATAATAATCTCATCTTTATCTTCGAGAGAATGTTGGTCCCTCAATCCCTTTAGAAGTAGAGTTCTAAACCGAACGGGCCGTTGCCTCTATCTTTGGACTCTAGAGATCCCATCAACCATTGCCACTGTCAAGGTAGCCCTAACTGGGTCTTGATCAGACGATACAATGTCTTGTCCTCCACCAGAAGAATTTCAAATAGGTTGGATCTGCGCCCTTCCCGTCGAGGCAGCAGCAGCCAAAGAAATGCTCGACGAAAATTTCGGAATTCTCGACGAGCAAGATACAACAGATCCAAATATCTACACGTTGGGCCGAATAGGCAAACACAATATCGTGATCGCCTGCCTGCCTGCAGGCCAATATGGCAATACTGCAGCTACTACAGTTGCAAACCATATGGTCCGTACGTTTTCGAAATCACTACGTATTGGCTTAATGGTAGGTGTTGGAGGCGGAATTCCATCCGCTACCTGTGATATACGGCTTGGTGATATCGTTATCAGCTGTCCAACAGGTACCTGTGGCGGTGTGCTTCAGTATGATATGGGCAAGGTTGGAAGTGATGGTAAATTTACTCGAGTGGGATCTCTGAACAGCCCTCCTAGGTCGCTGCTAGCGGCCGTTAGTATGATGAGGACTGCTGAGCTTACCGATGATCCTCACTATCCGGAATATCTCCGAAAGGCGATTGGGAGAACCCGAAAAACCCAGAAAACCTTTGCGAAACCTAATCAGCACAGCGATCGTTTATTTCAGATCAGGTACGACCATCCGGCTACTGCAGACAACTGTGATGTATGTCTGAGAGAATGGGAGGAGACCAGAAGTGAGCGCGAGGACAATGAACCGCAAACTCACTACGGCATTATTGCGTCTGGAAATTCTGTCATCAAACACGGAAGGACACGAGAACAGCTCCGCACGCAAACTGGGGCATTGTGTTTTGAAATGGAGGCGGCAGGATTGATGTTGGATTTTCCCTGCATTGTAATCCGTGGTATTTGCGACTATTCTGATTCGCACAAAAACAAGCAATGGCAAGGATATGCTGCATTGGCCGCGGCGTCATACACTAAGGAACTGTTGGGATATATACCAAAGGGTCAAGTGTCGCAAGAAGGCTTGGCTACAGATGTTTGTCGTAAGTGATACTTGGACTAGCCTGATATTCAATGGCGAGATGATTTGCTTATATCACGCTCTGTAGGCTCCCTAGAAGACTTAAATCGAGCGATCAAAAGTACCAACGATCGATTGGATAAAGCATATGATCAACGAGAACGGTATCACACTGAACACACTGCTCGAGTCTTGACCGAGCAGCAGAAAAGGTGTCATCAAGTGTTCAAGATTTCGAACTACGAGCAGCACAAGAATATCAATCCTGATCGAGTACCAGGAACATGTCAGTGGGCTTTACAGAATCCATCTTACCTCGGCTGGTGGAATAGCTGCGGCAATGATCTTCTCTGGATATCAGCTGACCCTGGCTGTGGGAAATCTGTGCTCTCTAAGTCACTTATTGATAATGACATACAAGCCTGTGGTTCAGAGGTATCAGTGTGTTATTTCTTTTTCAAGGATAATGACGAGCAGAATAATCTTGCTACGGCACTGTGTGCAATACTACATCAGCTCTTTAGTCAATACCCAAGTCTGCTACGACATGCGGTGCCGTGCTGGGAGAAAAATGGAGAAAGGCTTCAACAAGAGCCTGATCAGCTTTGGCGGATTCTCCTAGCAGCCACATCAGATCCTACATCTCCAAAGACTATTTGTGTGCTGGATGCACTTGACGAATGTCGCCCAGTGGACCAGAAGCGACTCATTCAAAGACTCACAGACTTCTATAACCAAGCCACCTTACCGACGACGCGAGAAAATTGGTTAAAGTTTCTTGTCACCAGCCGCCCATACGATGACATCCAGAATAATTTCAAACCTATAACAGACCTATTCCCGCATATTCGTCTGCAGGGGGAGCAGGAAAATAAACAGATTCATGGGGAGATTGATCTCGTGGTGAAGACAAAAGTAAAAGAGTTGGCTGAAACATCAGGGCTCCCAGCCGATGTGGAGCAGCGAATTGCTGATCAGCTTCTGCAAATGCAACACCGCACGTACCTGTGGCTATATCTGGCTATTGATGACATCCGTAATACGTTCCAGAATAGCCTTCGGCCAGCTGATGTATCAATTGTGCTGGTACCCGAGTCCGTGTACACTGCGTACGAGAAGATACTTAGTCGAGTCCCATCTGGTCAAAAGGATATCGCGAAGAAGATCCTACGGATTATTGTTGGTGCTCGGCGCCCATTAACAATAGAGGAAATGTCCATGGCATTAGGTGTGGCTGCCAATCCTGAGTTGGGAACTGCAGCAGCAGCTCGGCTTGAACCCACCAGGCTTAGTAACAGGATACGAAAACTCTGTGGGCTTTTTGTTTTCATCAACAACTCAAAGATCTACCTTATACACCAAACAGCCAGGGAGTTTCTTATTGGGAGAGATATCATCCACAAACCTATATCGGAATACTCCTTCGAATTGCCAGATGCCGATAAGGAAATGTCACAAATCTGTATCCGATACTTGCAAATGGATGACCTCGAGGACCGCCAACAATTAGAATCCAATATTCAATGCTTCCTGTCATATTCAGCAGTATACTGGGCTGACCATGTTCGGGGAATGTCCTCATCACAACAGCAAGAAATGGTTAATCTGGTACACGGTCTATACAGCACCACCACAAGCAGACATGAATTGTGGTTCTCTATATTTTGGAAAACTATTATGCCACTGCATGAAAAGGATAGAATGAATGCAGTGCATCTGGCTGCCTTCAATGGACATAGTCTTGTGTTGAAAATGATCCTCGCTACAGAGGAGAATATAATAGATGCAAAAGATAGCAGTGGGGCTACTGGTTTAATGTGGGCATCATATAATGGCTACTGTGAGGCTGTGCAAATACTGTTAAATAACAGAGCAGATGGCAACGCCCACAGTGAATATTATGAAAATGCCTTGCTGACTGCTTCCTCTA